GGGGCAATGAAGGGGGGTTTGGGGGTGGTAGCTTATAATTGGTGTTATTGTTATAGCTACTTGGTGATGCCTTTCTTAATTGGAAAGCAGGCTGCAAATTTGAAAGTTGGTTATATTTACCGTATTGGTTGAGCTTGGCTTTTGTAGGAGATGCCAACATAGCTTCTTCTTCGTCTTCGTCTAAGTCGCATTCGACATCAGATATACCGTCCAAGATTAAAGTAGCCCTGTCACCTTCATCTTCATCTTCGTCTATTTGATCATGAGAGACTTTGAGTGGCAGATCAGAACCCTTGAGAGGGAGGTCATTGTGCCTCAAATTACTGATCTCCTTTAAAAACTTATCAGTAGACTCTTCTCGTATCACCTTTAATCTTGATCTCACCACTTCATCATTTACATTTTCTCGATCGTCTAGTTCATCGTCTTCATCGTCCTGGGTGTTAGATCTGGTAATATCGTTTGATTGTAATATATTCAACTCTTCCACAGACGAGTTAAATTCGTGATCATCTTCATATAAGAAGCTTTTGCCGTTGGTGTCGCTGTTCATCGTAGAAGATGTGTCAACCGACTCGTCCACCTTGTCCTCTCCTTCACGTTCACGTTCATCTTCATCTTCATCATCTCCATCTATAGATATGCCAATTAAATCCAAGTTGCTGGATTCGTCCAAATAGTCAATGTCGTCTTCAGTGCTACTCGGCACATCTGAGCTAAGGTAGTTGGAGAACTTCCATCGTATGTAGCATTCCAACTGGTCTAAAAGTCCATAATCGCACAACACCATAATGCCATACGACTCATCTTTCACGAACTCCATCTCCACACTCTCATCCTGAAGTACAACGAAGTCAAGCAATTTCAACGTCAAGGTCAATATGAAGATCTCGTCACGAACGTTTATGCATGAAGCCGAAGAGGATGGGGGCAACGACGATGTCGACAACGATGACAGCAGCGCAGTCTTGAAGTCTATTAGGCTACCGAACACGCCCCTACGTCTACCAGATGATTTAGCGATCGATATAAGGTTGTCTTTAGCAAGATCAGATGGTTTTAAGTTTTTCCTATTTCGCAGAAGGAAGGTGTTTAATTCTACATTGACCTGAAGGATCACACCACCAGCACCGCCAGCACCGCCATCACCATCTACAAGCGACACCTGGTCCCTGTCATGGTATATCTGCGTCTGCTCGTGTTCCTCTAGTATCCTTTTATACCTTCTAGCCAACGTTTTTATCTTAGAAGGTATATTCGAAGAGAAAATATAATTTGGTTTGTGAGGATCTCGATCCATTGTATCACCCAATGACTACTATTATGAAACAATGGTGTAACGATCTCTACTTTTGATGCAATGTTTCGACTTTCTCTCTTGTAAATTGTGTTACTTACGCAGTAAGGATTTCAAACGTGTATCTGCAGCCCGAAATTAGCCCTTTTCTGCTGCTTTATCTCTGTATCTACTCCACAACACCGGTAGATCTTTACTTTAATTTGGATCGATAACTTCAGTACATGCAGTAATCAAAACAAATGACCCGCAACAACAACAGAAATGCGGAAAAACAAAAATAGTGAAAGCTTAAAAAAAATTATGCAGCGAGGACCGAGCGGTCGTGCGCGAGACGCAATATCAACCGTAGGATATTTGGAAGGACTCAGGGTAGCTCGTAGTGGAAGGTAGACGGTACGTGGTTCAGTGATGCTGTCGTACTATTTCAGCATTATCGGCACCAAGGATAATCCCTTGTATGAACTTGAATTCTCTTCGTTCAAATCGTCATCTCCAACACCAGGACAGTCGCAATTCAGTGCCAGTGTCAAGGAGATTCTTCCCTTTGTGACACACTCAGCATTGGATATAGTTGAAGATGCGACATGGTCCACCAATCAGTTCAGCTTGGGCAGAATCGACTCGTTCTACGGACTCGTGATCAATGCATTTATCACACAGGGTAATATCAAGTTTTTATTGTGCTACGATACTAACACCTCCGCCCCAGGTGGTGGTAGTGGCAGCGGTGTGGGCGGCGTTGGTGGCAGTGGCAGCGGTGCAGGTATAGTGCCGGGACCAGGCAGTGGAGCCTCTTCACACGCGCTATCTTCTTCGTCCTCGTCCATATCGGGCTCGAAGAATGACGATAACTCCATTAAGCAATTCTTCATGGAGGTGAATGACTTGTATGTAAAGTGCCTCTTGAACCCGTTATATGCGGTGAACGATGCAATTATATCCCCAGACTTTGATCTCAAGGTGAAAGTACTGGCAAAGAAATATTTGTAGACAAGAAACCTGGGATTTATAAACACGATATAGCCAGAGCATGCTGTACTTAGATTCATCATTTCCTTTTGAATGGGAATGCTTGGGAATTGCTGGCCAGGCTTGGTAGCTGATGCCGTAGTGGGCGGAAGCACGCGACGAAAGACTTTATGACGGTCTTGCGGGTTGGGATACAGTGAGCTGGGGTTCATGAATTGAGTTTGAATGCATGAATTCAGCTGGAAGCCACTCTTTCCTATGGTTAGGTCTATCATGCGTAGATCAGCACATGTGCCAGTAAGAATATTGCATTCTTGGCTCCGACTGGCTTAACCAACTAAACCTTCTTTGAATCCTACAGATCGAGATTCGAGCATAGGGTTGAGATTTAATGTATATAGAGGGAGCAACTTCTCCACTGCATTTATACATCTAAGGATGTAACTGTCACACGTAGTTTGTTGGTGGTAAATAGGATATTTTATACCAATGGTGATAGTTATTCTTTAACATAAAATAAATAAATCACTAATACTAATCTAATTGAGAACATTGTGTAAATATCCTTTAGCACGCGGATTGAACTAGCAAGAATATTTTTTTATTTACATTTATATACAATCATATCCTAAATCAAATTCTCTCCATCTCTCTCTCTCTCTCTCTCTCTCTCATCAACTCATCACATTTCTTTCTTATACTATTTCTTATTTTCTGCTTCCATCTTTTCTTCTTCGGTCTGTTCAAGGGCTTTTTCAGTTTCAATCTTGTAGTTACCATTGCCGTCTTCCACTATTATTCCTTGATCTTTAAGATTATTGAACATATCCTGTGGAACCCATCCTCCAGTGGCTGCGAAAGGAGTCGAAACAGATTCCATTTGGTAAGTTTCTAAGTCCAGTTGATATTCATCCAAGAACTCAGCAGTATATTGTATTGGGAATTCCAGCTCAGTAGTGTTAACTAACTCGTTTGCTACATAAGCATCCCACATTGCTTGTAATTGTACAATGGCTCCTTCCACATATAAATAATCCTTGTCTTGCTTGAAATCAACAGCCTGTAAGTATGGAGATTTTAAAATTTTAATGTGAGGCGATGCAACAGCAATCAAGTCATGTCTTCTTTCGTTCAAGGCAACTTCCCATAATCTTTCATTTCTGGTCTTATAGTACATGAATTGGTACTGCTGCTGTTCAACTTCATCCATGTCTTTATATCCCGGGATATCTTCTTCAAGATCGTACACCTTAGCACCTTGGTACGCTACGAAAGCAGGATGACTAGCTAACGCAAATGGTTTTATGCTAGTATTTTCGAAATCAACAAAGTATGGGGTACCTGAGTCCTTTTGAACTACAACATTCAATGGGTCCAAATCTGGTACGAAGAGTCTAGGCTTGAAAAGATCATCAACATTAACAATTGCACTAGATGTGGGCGATAATAACTTTTCTGAAACCGTTTTCAAATTTTCAAATGTCTTGATTGCCCTCTTCAATAGTTCTGTATCTTCAACAATTCTAGATGATCCTGCTTCAGCTAAACTCAATCTGTGACGAAGAGCCTCTAATTGAACTCCAGCAACATCTTTAATAAGCTTCAATGGTGCATCCTTTTCCCAAGGGCCTAAGTATGGTTGTAAATGAGATTTGGTCAACGAAGATTTATTCTTGTGGTAGATTCTTTCAGTAATTGGGCCAATTCTCCATCTGTTGACAAGCAGAGAATCTGTTTCGCCATCATACGGCAAGACGGCTTGATCCTTGGGGTCAACAACGTCATTATAGAAGTAAAGCGAACCAAATCTATTGAAGGTGACTGAAAGTAATTTTTCATAGAAGTCAGCAATTGGGTTAATGACTTTGTTTAAAGTGGCCTTGGTAGCTTCATCAGTAACCTCACCTTCCACTAATGGCTCCCATTGCTTCATGAGCAACTCACCTTCGATGTGCTCCATTAAGATAAACGGACTCTTCAAGGCATTATCTCTATCAAACCCATAGGCAACTACCTTTGGGACCTTTACTCCCAATTTCAAATCAAGAAAATCCAAAGTAGCTACTTCACTCTTGACCATGAGTGCTGTCGAGTATTGTTGTTCCAAAGGGTATGGGATTCTCAACACCAAATCCTTTCCACTAGATAAGGTGACTTTATAGATTCTGTTATGCTTACCTTCATGAATAGAAGCAATGGACTTGACCATAGCGTTTCCCTTGATATTCGTGAATTTGCCGATGATATCTTCGGTTAGGTTGTTGGAAAGAACTGTAGTACCATCGTTCAACAAGGTTGGAGCTTTGACAGAACTCGGATTCTCCTTGCTACAAATCTCTTGCAAGATAGAAGTGAAACCTTCAATCGAAAACTTGGTTTCTCTTCTCTTACGCTCTATCTGATCATTTTTCATCCATGAGCCCCAACTATACTGGAAGAATGGGTTTCTTTGAGGATCCTCTGAGTCGGAGATCTTTGTGAACACTTCACTGGGCTTGGAATCTAGCTTGGATGAAGAGTTGTAACGAATTGCAAGAATCGATGGTCCTAAATTTCTGGAAATTTGGGCACCTTTGACAAGTCTGCTCACAGTGGAGACTCTTCCACCAAAACTTCTCAACATTGTTATTAAAATAAAGAGAACAGACGTCTATAATAGTAAAGAAGATACCTAAAGTGAAAATTTTAAAATTTGCGGTCGTCTTGATTTCCATGTTACACATAAGTCGTGCAAGGTCCAATTATTCAGTATATAACCTATACATACAAACTAAAACAATTTAATGGGAATAAAAGATCCAAGGTACCCATTATTCTAGATTTACCCTTAATTTTTTTTAGTATTTTATTTCATTTTATCATTAGCCTTATCCTTATCCATATATTAGTACGATTCTTTTTTTTTTTTTTTTTAATTTATCTTCTGTCAGAAATTATCCTGCCTTTCTACTGCACCCGTATCCAATAAATTTATCTTTTCTCTCAAGGTAATCAGTGGTGCAGAAGCTAACCCAGTTATATGATTACTAGCCCCGGAATCTCCGTCCATCTGAGCATTTGTAGTTTTTATACTCACTTGGCTGTAATTGTTTGCAATGGAGTCTGCATCGTAGTCTTCATCATTTGTCGCGGATAATAAGGAGGACGACCTATCCATTCCACCATCTAGTCCACTAATTAGTTGCTTTTTGAAAATTGAATTATGCAACTCCATATTGGCAAAATTCAACTTATCACCAGGTGAACCTGGAGTGAGAGGAGTCGGTGTAGTGCTTTCATTGTTCTGATCGGGTAATGGAGGTAATACAGTGGAACCCTCTGGGGGAGAAGTGGCAACGGTCATAGTTGCAAGAGGAGACTTGATCTGTGTAGGGCGCAAATTACTGTTAGCATTATTTGCATTATTCGCATTCGCAAGATTATTAGCGTTTACCATGTTGGATATAATATTATTGGAATACGATGTAGGTCCATGTCTATGCAACCTATTACCTTCTATTCCATCCTTCGTAGCTGTTGTAGATAAGCAAGACGTAGTAGAATTCCTAGATAGGGGCCTGGAGAACGAGTCTATATAGTTTTCGCTACCTATATTAGTATCCTGTTCAGGGGAAATTTCGCGATCTGGAGTTCTTGGGCGAGATTCACCTATGGTAGAAGCTACTTCTTCTCCACCTCCTCCTACGAACTGCAGCTGGTAATCGGAAGTTGAAGATAATAAAGACAAGCTGGTCGATGAATTTGTCTTGTACATGGAGGACTGCAATTGTCTAGGTACTGAAGAGGAATTATTTTCCCCGTCGCTCATTCTTGTTACAGTATAATTTTTGTTCAAGTACTTAAGTTTACAATTATTTTCTAATACGATGTGAGTGTGAGTGTGGGGTAAAAATTTCAATAGGAAATACAATAAGTTTATACAAAGACCTCCCAAGCTCAGTCGCTTATCTTCAAAGGCAGTTATCTATAGTTCAACTAACTGTATTTAGTACTATACAATTCAGTATGTAAATCTTTTTGATGCATTCCACTTTTTGTTTTTCAATTTTAATTGTTATTTTTTTTCTTCTGGGGGGTGTTTTGACCATCAGGATCACGCTGTTACAAATTGATAACGTGCGGTCTGCGACCTAGAGCGAATTCTATGCAGCCCGTAAAAATTAAAGCCTAACTTTAAATAGTATGACGATAAACTTTGTCTACAGTCCCAGCTATATCTGGTCATGAAGATAGACTTTTATCCAATGAAGCAGATACAACAGTATTTAGTTGGGGAGCCAGAGGATTCGACTTTAGGATACACACCACAGTGGAAATAGACGTTAATAGAAGTGCATATATATTCTAACCCAATAAACGACTAAGTCTTCGCTACTGCTCTATTTTTAGGGGTGAGAAAAAGACATCACCGTGGTAAGCTAGCGGGTATTTTGAATCTTCACCGCTAAATTTAGCGAATGCGGCTGACTTTGCAGCCGTTCCAACTGGTGAAAGACCCTTTACATTTTTTTATTTATACTCCATTTTACGTGGCTCCTTCTTTTATTGAAGTAGAGTTTATATTTAGCATGTTGTCTTCTATACAATCTTTGTCCGTTACGAAAGAGTTCATTTTCGTCACACTAAGTAGTATATTATATACTCGCTCTGTTTTCCCTGAAGAAAATTTTGAAGGAAAGGAGTATCAACTAGAAACTGGAGGTTCACGCTATATCAAAGTTTTACTGAAAGGTATTTCTACTGAAGGGGATAATCTACTCCACTTAATTCAAAATTCAATATTCCTACTGTTGTCTCGTGCAAGTCTTAGTTCTGTTGAATTAACTATCAATGACGAGAAAGGAAAACTTTTAGAGTCCTATCTGCTTGTCATAACTTACCCCATGTACTCATGCAGAAGAATAGACAAAAAGAACTTACATGGTGCCAACACAAGCACTGTAAATGATTGTTTCTTTAGAACTCACAGTAAATTGACAACATCAACCCAGGCTGCGAATCTTCTTCCTACCAAGAAATCTGTAGCCATTAGTTTGATTTCAAATGCAAAGCAAATGCCCCATAGCGTCTCTGCTTGCTCCGAATTACACCCACCAGCCGTACACGGCCATTATTCGCAGTCGTTGATAACAATCGGAAACCTCTATTCTGTTTACTGCGATGTCAAGATTAAGACGTCACTTTTAGTCCACACTCCTTGCACCTCTACTTTCTTGGCTCCAAATCTAAAACACGAAATCACGAATGAGCCTGGCTGTGAATGTAACACAAATATTCTGGTTTTAAAAGAAGTTTACGGTAGGAGAATAGGTCCTTGTAGATCATGTGTAAAGTGCTCAAGGAAAATACATATTTGGTGCTATGCCGACAACACAAAAAACAATAAAACAGAGATTGTGTGCTACAGTTGCCTCTGCAATGATTCTAATTTACCCTCAAAAGTCACCATGATTATGAGAGTCAGATTCTTGTGGAAGCTCTTCCATAATTATGACCTACCAGAATCCACCGACTTCTTCAATATATTGTTCTCCAAGACAAATGTAGTGGAGTTGTTAAATACAATGATAAAGTATAATATACTAGAGCATCTGACAAATATTTTACACATCGCTAGCCAACCTCACGTAATCAAGCCAAAGACTAAATTCATAAAGATTGGTTTGCATGGCCTTCATAATGGAAATGGATATAATTTTGAAATAGGGGACGAACCTTATTTTATATTTGCACCTACTTTGAGCAATCAGAAAGCACTTAAACTTAGATATGAAAAGAGCACGGAAAGTGAGTTCTTCCCAAGTCAAAAAGTATGCAGCCAGGAAGAATTAGTAAAGTATGTGGAGAAATTATGAGGAAGCTTGGTCGTTGCTCGAAGTATTACAACCATTTAATCTTTGCCACTAGATTGATCATTTCTAGTATTGATTCATACTTAATTTAATGCCAACAGCCAATCATGTACGTCTATTGATAAAGGGAAAGGAGAATGAGCTTTATACTTTGGGCTTACTAATTTCGAACTTAAGCCGCACGCAAGATAGTGAATTGAGTGTGGGGGAATACCATGAACAACTCCTTTTCCAAGCCCATTGGGGCTTACTCTCCTCAGCTCAGTCAAATCTAATATAAATACCCTAGCTATTCCTCAGATAATTCGCAAATTTTAAAACTTGATAGGTAATTAAATTCTACATTGTTATAGAATTTTGTTATCAATAGTACCAAAAAGAATATTACATCACTTTAGCTAGAATGGAAGTGCAAAAATTAGGAGATTCTGGTCTTAGCATCTCAAGAGTTATTGTTGGGTGTATGACATTCGGAAACAAAACTTTTGCTGATTGGCTCATTGATGATGAAGATAAGATTTTTTCAATTTTGAAAAAATGTTATGATAGTGGACTTAGAACATTTGATACTGCTGACGTTTATTCGAACGGAGAGTCAGAAATCTTACTTGGAAAATTTATCAAGAAGTACAAAATTCCTAGAAATAAAGTGGTTATTTTATCTAAATGCTACTTTCCTACTGAGCCTGAGAATCCCGACTTCAACTTTAAGAATAAAGCAGATGCACCTGAATATGAATATGCAAACAGCCAAGGGTTGTCACGTAAGCATATTTTCGATGCTGTGCAGGCGTCAGTAGAGAGATTGGGTACTTACATTGATGTGCTACAGATTCATAGACTTGATAGAAATACTCCTAAGCGTGAAATCATGAAGGCGTTAAATGATGTAGTTGAGCAGGGCCTAACCAGATATATTGGTGCTTCAGCCATGAGAGCAATTGAATTTGCCCAATTGCAATTTATTGCTGATAAGAATGGATGGTTCAAGTTTATTAGTATGCAAAATTACTACAATTTGACCTACAGAGAAGAAGAAAACGAAATGATTCCATTCTGTAATGATTCTGAGTTTGGCAAAGTAGGGATAATTCCATACTCACCGCTTGCCAGGGGTCTTTTGACTAGACCACTTGGACAAGAATCTCAAAATAATAGATCGTCTGAAACGGATGCTGTGCAAAAGGTATATGGATTGAATGCACTCAGTGATGCTGATAAAGAAATTGTAAACAGGGTTGAAGAATTAGCTAAAAAATATAAAGTGAATATGGCAAGTGTCGCAGCCGCATGGGTTTTAAGTAAGGGGGCTTGTCCTATTGTTGGAATTAGCAGTGAGAGCAGAGTTGATGATTACATTGAAGCGTGTAAGCTCAAGCTTACTGAAGAAGACACCAAATTCTTGGAGGAACCATATGTTACCAAACCATCACATTTATTCATGAAATAGGTATCATTACTGTCGTATATATGTGAATTCGATCTCTTTTCTGACAGTTCGAAACTTTATTGAATGTACAACACTTTGCTAACACAGTGTAGATTATCTGCAGGTATTCTTTTGTTCACTAGGCTGCATTATTCAAAGGGGCTTTGATTGAGCTGTCAAAAACTAAGCGATATTAAAATAAGCGGGAAACTGTCGTAAATCCCGACTATAGCTCGCATATTTATAAAGACTCTTCAAAAGCTTCAAAATTAGCCAATAGCATTCACAACAAGAATTTATCACTCATTTTCAGCATGATTTCATACTAAGCTGAACAGCCAATCAATCTTTTCGATAAGGGTATAAAGAAGAGCGGTGATGTACTAATCAGCTTACTAACATCCAACTGAAGCTGCATATTTGCGGGGTAGGTAGTCCGTCAATTTGCTACCTCCAGTGATAAGGCTTTCCAATCCATGGGATATGCTTGCTCTCCTTAATGCGATATAATTCAGATATTAGTGCCTTGGATATTCCACAGATATTTCTAAAGTTTAATAGCTAGAAGATCAAATTTTACACTGCTACTGTTTACAGCTATCTGTAGTATCATCAAAGAAGCTCGTACATTATTCTAGGTAAAATGGAAGTTCAAAAATTAGGCGAATCTGGTCTTAGTATCTCAAGAGTTATTGTTGGGTGTATGACATTCGGAAAAAAGTCTTATACAGATTGGTTTATTGAGGATAAAGATAGAGTATTTTCAATTTTAAAAAAGTGTTATGATAGTGGACTTAGAACATTTGATACTGCTGACGTTTATTCGAACGGAGAGTCAGAAATCTTACTTGGAAAATTTATCAAGAAGTACAAAATTCCTAGAAATAAAGTGGTTATTTTATCCAAATGCTACTTTCCTACTGAGCATGAGAATCCTCATTTTAACTCTAAGAGCGTAGCAAAAGCCCCAGCATATGAGTATGCAAATAACCAAGGGTCGTCACGTAAGCATATATTCGATGCCATACAGGGGTCTGTAGAGAGATTGGGTACTTACGTTGATGTGCTACAGATTCATAGACTTGATAAAAGTACTCCTAAGCGTGAAATCATGAAGGCGTTAAATGATGTAGTTGAGCAGGGCTTGGCCAGATATATCGGTGCATCTGCAATGAAAGCAATTGAATTCGCACAGTTGCAATTTATTGCTGATAAGAATGGGTGGTTCAAGTTCATCAGTATGCAAAACTACTACAACTTGACATACAGAGAAGAAGAAAACGAAATGATCCCATTTTGTAATGATTCTGAATTTGGTAAAGTCGGAATAATTCCGTACTCACCACTTGCTAAAGGCATTTTGACTAGACCACTTGGTCAAAAATCTCAAAATAATAGAACCTCCGATACGGATGCTTTGCAAAAATATTACGGATTGAGCGAACTTATAGACTCTGATAAAGAAATAGTTAATAGGGTTGAAGAATTAGCTAAAAAGTATAAAGTTAATATGGCAAGTGTAGCTACCGCGTGGTTATTAATTAAGGGCGCTTGTCCTATTGTCGGTATTACAAGTGAAGAAAGAGTTGATGATTATGTTGAAGCGTGTAAGCTAAAGCTTACTAAAGAAGACACTAAATTCTTAGAAGAACCATATGTCACGAAGCCAGCGCACTTGTTCTTTGTTCTATAGTTATAATTACCATTGCGTAATTGTGAATTAAAGGTAGTCTCCGAAGCATAGAAATCTCATTGAATATACGACGTGTTTCTTGAGAACCCAATTAAATGACCAAACACATTGTAGTTTTTCCGCAGGTATGCTTTTCCTCATTAGATTGTAGTCCCTAGTATTTTGGTGGAACTGCACCGAAATCTTAGTTAGATCCAAACAATCGGGGAACTGTCGTTAATTCCGTCTATAACTCGCACATCACTTAGAGCCAGGTTCGGAGATATTATAAGCTCCGGTAGTACTGATAATGATGATGATAGCGACGATTTGACTATCGATTTTCTTGCTAGCTACTGACGTAAGTGAGTCTATACCTACCAACAATTAATACATAATTTTGCAATTGGTATAATTTGACATTTTATTCTCCTATAGTTGCAAAAAATTTCACACCTACTTCAAATGTTTCACAACACAATTAAATGAAAATCCACTTTTCTCCGTATTGCTAAGGGGCTCGGCACTTTTGCCACTGTAATGAATGTGCGCACTCTATGGTCGACTATAAAAGTGGATCAGCTGGCCTCGCTCCCTAAATTCATGCTTCCTCTACTTTCAGTGGATAATTTTTCATTCTCAATACTTCTCGATCGAACATATCACAACGATGCAAGTCCAAAAATTAGGAGACTCGGGTCTTAGTATTTCAAAAATTATTGTCGGATGTATGTCATTCGGCAATAAAAAATTTGGAGAATGGGTAATTGATGACGAAGAGAAGGTATTCTCGATTTTAAAGAAGTGTTATGATAATGGACTCAGAACGTTTGATACTGCAGACGTCTATTCAAATGGGACTTCAGAAATATTGCTTGGAAAATTTCTTAAGAAGTATAAGATTCCTAGGAACAAGGTAGTTATTTTAACAAAGTGTTACTTTCCTAATGAGAGTGAGAATCCCGACTTTCACTACAGACTTGTCGCAAGTGCTCCAGCTTATGAGTATGCAAATGGGCGAGGATTATCACGTAAGCACATTTTTGATGCAGTTCAGGCTTCGGTAGCAAGGTTAGGTACATATATAGATGTTCTTCAAATTCACAGACTCGATTCGGAGACACCCAAGCGTGAAATTATGAAGGCATTGAATGATGTAGTTGAGCAGGGTTTGGCTAGATATCTCGGTGCTTCGTCAATGAAAGCTACTGAATTTGCTCAATTGCAATTCGTTGCTGACAAGAATGGATGGTTCAAGTTCATCAGTATGCAAAATTATTATAACTTGACGTACAGAGAAGAAGAGAATGAGATGATTCCATTCTGTAATGATTCTGAGTTCGGTAAAGTAGGATTAATTCCGTATTCGCCTCTTGCTAGAGGTGTTTTGACTAGACCTGTAGGTAAAGAGTCTGAATTCAATAGAACTGCGAATACTGATGCTCTGCAAAAGTTGTATAAAGTTGATGAGTTGAGTGAAGCTGATACAGAAATAATCAATAGAGTAGAAGAGCTAGCAAAGAAGTACGCTGTATCAATGGCTACTATTGGAACGGCCTGGGTTTTGAGTAAGGGAGCATGTCCCATTGTTGGTATTAACAGCGAAAAGAGGGTTGACGATTACCTAGCGGCTGTAGAGTTCAAATTGAGCGAAGAAGACAATAAATATTTAGAGGAACCATACGTTACCAAGCAGCAGCATTTATTTCTTAAATAGTTAGTTAATCTGCAATTATTGACAATATCAAGAACCCCAATACAAGATGAATGATTCGTTTCAAAGCTTCTTCGCCGAAGAGTAAGAGACTAGGACAGATAAACAACATGTAAGGTAATAGTGTCAATTTGATAGTCAAGCCCACCACCATTCCTCTCCTGAACTTCGGACGTTTCGTTAGTAGAACAGAATCGCATGGTTGAGTTATCGGAAATTCTTCTAAGTTCTCCAAAAACAATTTATTTTATGCTGCAGGTTTGTCTAAGCCTACTTTGATTGCTGCAGGCGCGGGGAAGTTTGATATACACCGAAGATAGAATTCTTGGAGAAATACTTCGGACTTGCCAACCTTAGATGCGAAAACTCACTCGGAAGGTACCTTCTTCCGTAATTCCGACTTAGATATTCTCAACAATGATGCAACGAGTATAGTTGTTGCATGGGTTCTATATAAAGGAGGACCATCTCGCTTTACTGAAAGTTTACTCTTGAGCTACATAATCAACTGGACTTCTTTCCAAATATTTGTCAAACGTATATATCCAAATGCAAGTTCAGAAATTAGGAGACTCAGGTCTTAGCATATCAAGAATTATTGTTGGGTGTATGTCATTCGGTAACAAAAACTTTGGAGAATGGGTTATTGATGATGAAAGTAGAGTATTTTCAATCTTAAAGAAGTGTTACGATAGTGGACTCAGAACGTTTGACACTGCAGATGTCTATTCGAATGGAGCTTCAGAAACTTTGCTTGGAAAATTTTTAAAAAAGTATAAAATCCCTAGAAACAAAGTAGTCATTTTAACTAAATGCTACTTTCCTAACGAGTCCGAGAACCCAGATTTTAACTTTAGAACAATTGGAAGTGCCCCTGTGTATGAGTTTGCTAATGGTCAAGGATTGTCACGTAAACACATTTTTGATGCAGTTCAGGCTTCGGTAGCAAGGTTAGGCACATATATAGATGTTCTCCAAATTCACAGACTCGATCCAGATACGCCTAAGCGTGAAATTATGAAGGCATTAAACGATGTAGTTGAGCAGGGCCTCACTAGATACATCGGTGCTTCATCGATGAGAGCTGTTGAATTTGCTCAGCTACAGTTTATAGCCGATAAGAATGGGTGGTTCAAGTTCATCAGTATGCAAAACTACTACAACTTGACGTACAGAGAAGAAGAAAACGAAATGATTCCATTCTGCAATGATTCTGAGTTTGGTAAAGTAGGATTAATCCCGTATTCGCCTCTTGCTAGAGGTATTTTAACTAGACCTGTTGGCAAAGAGTCAGAATTCAATAGAACTGAAAATACAGATAGTATTCAAAAGAGTTTCAAAATGAACATTCTAAGCGATGCTGATAAGGAAATTGTGAATAGAGTAGAAGTGTTAGCTAAAAAGAATGATGTTTCAATGGCTTCAATTGCAGCAGCCTGGGTTTTGAGTAAAGGAGCATGTCCAATAGTTGGCATTAACAGTGAAAAAAGAGTTGATGATTACCTTACTGCCGTAGAGCTTATCTTAAGTGAATCTGATATTAAGTATTTAGAGGAGCCGTATGTCACGAAGCCCCAGCACATGTTTATAGCAAAGAAGTAGAATTTTTACGAAAATAGATTTCTGAAGTGGATGAGAAGATTCTATGGACACTGTAGAATGAGATATTGTAAAGTAGGGCAAAAGTACGGACGCACATCGTAACGTTGCTTCCTATGGAGATTCTGCTATCTCACTAAGACTTTAAGATTTTCATTCCGTTCGTTTGCAGTAGAATAAGAGAATAGAGAACCGATGGTTATTCTGACTCAATCCAGAACTTTTAAGAAGCGGCTCACTTGTAAGCTGGTCATACGATCATTGCTTCAAAATTCAAGTATTAGTTACAAAGTTCCTTTTACTATAAAACAAAACTAAAGATTCAATCAACTTTCAGCTCCTAGATATAAATGCTCTAATATATGTCTTTTTATAGGAGTAAGCACTTACTGGTGGAAGGCGTTGGTTCCGAAGCTTAACCATATATGCAGCCTATTCTATCCTGCATAATAACATCATATAGCGATGTGGGAAATGAAAAAAACACAAGGGCAGCTTGAGATGCGATAGACCATACTCTGATGTATTCTCCAGCACATCAAGTCGTAGGACAGTCATTCCAAACATTACAATGAACGTAGTACTTCCAGGAGATAGTCTTCCTATAGAAAATGACGCAAGCGCATCAATCTCTATAGGTCCAGGGATATACAAATCACCACAAACGCAAGAGATCATTCCATCATCTGCAGGAATTATTAACATCAAAGATACCAAACAGAATACAAACAGATTAATTTACATAGACTCTAATTCCAAGAGATATATCCCACAGACCAATGATTTTGTTATCGGGATAATAACGGGTGTATTTGGGGAAAATTATAAAGTCCAGCTTCAAGATTTTCTGCAGTCAGTTCAACTCTCTATGATGGCATTTCCAAATGCTTCCAGGAAAAATAGGCCTAACTTAAAAGTTGGACAGGCTGTCTACGCTAGAGTCTCCCAAGCCATTCCTGAAATTGATGTAGAATTAGAATGCATAGATGCAACCACGGGTAAGGAAGGTGGTTTTGGATTGCTTGACGAATCTGGGTACATCTTCAGTGTTAATTTGAATTTTTCCAGGGAGCTCTTGTTTAATCAGAATTCTCCGATTTTGGAGAAGTTGGCTTCGAGGTGCAAGTTCGAAATAGCCATTGGAATCAATGGGAAAATATGGATTAAATGCGGCGATGGTATACCGATACAGAAAGAGGGAAGTTCCAGCAATGGTAACGAAGAAGAAGATAACAAACAACAAAGCAAAGACTCCAGTAAGAATTATGTTTATGACTTGAAGTGCACGCTCGCAGCAACCAGATACATTCAAAGTTGTCAACATTTAAAGAGCGAAGAAATTGATGCAGAATTGAAGAAATTATTTAATTTTTGAATGGAGAAGACGAGAACTAAGATCTTTGACAAAATCCGTTCTTTCCAGTAATTAATAGAATAATAAAAGCTTATATAAGTGCCATTGTCTAGTCAGCTAGGCATATCCTGTAGTCTCTTAGAAAGCAGCATCTTCATCTTTTGGTGTTCTATTTTTTTTTTTTTTTCATTTTCTTTTTTGGGGAATTTTTCATTTTTCACATTTTACGAAGGGCATCACACTCATCTCTTCTCTCCAGTGCAGCATTGGTGTCTCTATAATAACAGGTTGAATATTTAGAGGCTTCTCCAATTGTAGCTTGTCATGTCCTTCAAGCAACTAACACCTCAGCAGCTCGCTAACCAAATAGCGAGGCAAAAAAAGAAGATAGAGAAAGATAAGAGAAGAAAACAATATGAAGACATTCAAATTCAAGGTACTAATAACTCATCGATCGTTTCTAAGAGATCTGTCGAAATGTTATACACCACTAAATTAAACCCAGAAATGGGCGAATGGTTCCAATATTTTGTGAAAAATCCAAAAAGACGTTCCCCTGCTATCAATAGAGGATATTGGATCAGAATGGAATCAATAAAGCAGTTGATATTGAGGATCATTCAGAAAACAGACCCAAACGAAGATATCTGTATAGTGAATCTTGGCTGTGGTTTTGATCCACTTCCATTCCAATTACTTTCGGAATTCAAGATCACCAACTCCAAAATACTTGACAGGTTAACATTTGTAGACATAGACTATCCTGATTTGGTTGAAAATAAATTGAAAATGATAAGTGAAAGTGATGAAATTCTATCTGTTATTGGTGGTATAAATTCTAATGCAAGAAAAGATCTCGGAATTGTATTATCTTCAAAAAACTACAACTTGGTTGGATGTAACCTTAGAGACAGTAAACTCTTTAACGAACAATTATCGACAATAAATGCCAATGCTACCACTAATATATTCATTGCCGAAGTATCCTTGGCATACATGAAACCAGAGCATGCCAACCCCGTCATTGCAAATGCTAGTAAGTACCATAACTCCCATTTCATTATTTTGGAACAACTCTTACCTGCAGGATTGCAGCATCCATTTGCAGTTAAAATGATGTATCATTTTGACCATTTAAGATCATCACTTGGATGTGTACAAGATTATCCATTGATTAAGGATCAGGTCAAAAGATTTGGTGAGTACTACAGTGTTGTCGAAGCGAATGACTTGTTATATAATTGGCGTAATTTGACCTCTGATAATTTGAAAAATAAAGTGTCAGAAATAGAGAGCTTTGATGAATGGGAAGAATTCATCGTCTTTTGCCAGCATTATGTCATTGTACATGCCACCAATAATACTATCAACGGAATGGTATACGAAGAGTCTGAAAAAAAAGAGGAAGGTAAAATCCAAATTGAAAGTGAGTCCACTCTTGAAGTTTCTTTTCAAACTGCTGCAACATTCGAGAGGAAGTTCCCTGCTTCCTGTTATTTAAATGGGAAGGTTTTCGTCCACGGAGGCTCAGGGAAGACAAGAGAAAGCTCGATGATATCATTCGATGTGGACTTTCCAAATATAAAACCTGAAGACTTTACTGATGGTGTTAAGATTGGTATCCACGAAATGACTGGGGATGTGCCAAGTCCAAGAATGTGTCATACGTTCACATCTATTAATGATCGTGAAGCCCTACTCATTGGTGGCAGAGGCAGACCGGGACAAGAATTTGCAGATGTATACAAATTCAACGCTTCCGATAATTCTTGGCAAAAAATTGGTGAGTTGGAAGCTCCAGTCTCTCGTCACTCCACTACAGTGTTGAATGAAGATGAAGTATTGATTTTCGGTAAGAAAGGTTTTGTAAGGTATAACCATAAAACGAATAAATCATTCGGCGTTAAGCAAAGTGGTGAAAATTCCATTAACTATGAAAGTTGTGCATTTTACTTCAATGGTTCCTCGGGGTTTATAGTGGGAGGAATGATTTCTAACAGCGTTCCTGAGGTCAACGACAGAATCTTGAAGTTTCAATTTGTCGAAGACGATCTCATCAAAGTCGAAGAGGTTGTGCAACATGCAGAGGTGTCTAGAATCGGTTCTTCATGCGCACTCGTAAACAAAGAAATATTAGTTATAGTGGGTGGTGTCAACTCTACTAAAATATTGGGTAGAGAAAACTGCATCATGGCTTATAACTTAAAGGAGAAATCTTTTAAGAGCATCCCAATTGATGAGATGTTAATTGGGTTTAACCTCATAGAGAAAGACGGTAAAATACTCTGCCTTGGTGGAGGTGGAGTGTGCTACTCTTTTGGGAGCTACTATAATGGAGTAGTATGCATATCCACTACAAACATGTAAAATAGATGGATTAGGAAATGATACAATTGAAGAATATACATCATTATGCAATACATAGATCTAGAATTTAGAATAGAAACTACCACACCTCCTCGGTACCGACAGTATACTGTCTTTTTTTTTCTTAACTCCATGCGATGGACCATTTGTAGCATTAACAGTTCATGTTTCAAATAAGCAGCTCGTATATTGAGATCCCGCGGATGCTTGTTTCGCCCATCTTCTCTTAATTTTTCATATTTTCAAGAGGTGCACAATCAAGCAGCATATCTAATGATGCAAGCACCATCTGCGGCTCTTTGAAAAAATATCGCAAGACATCTCCACGTTACTAGCAAATGTGGGTAAAAGCACATTGTCAGAGAGAAGTGGGATCTGGGGAAACCACCCGAAATTAGGAATCTACAAGGAGAAGATTAGTGGAGAATAAAAAGCCTATTATATGGTTAGAGTAATGAGTGATTACTAGAGAATAATTGCACTGGGGATTGAAGAACAAATAGCTCACCAAATGGAACCTAATTAGCTTTCTCGAGTAACTAGGTACATCCCATGGAGAGAGCTGGAAGCAGGTACCAGCTTCCATTTCTGGATCCTTCCGGCTTATTCTTTCTTGCCCTCTACCTTCCTCTTGCGAGCTCCTTTGGTGCTTGCAATCTATGCATGCCATAACGCTTTATTTTCCAAGATTGATCTCCAAATGTGTGATGCTCCCAAATGTGCTGCATCATACGATACGGAAGTGTGGAAAATACCGGGGCAGTAGAGATGAGGACCTCTCCCCTTTGTAGACATTGTCATAGAAAATAATATATAAACGATATGATAGCATAGGGCACATGCACAATCAGGCCGATTATTTGAGGTTTAATTTAATCCATTCAACAGAAATAAGTATAAAGACTCCTGTCCACTTATTCCGCTGCTTTGAGTCAAGCGTAAGAATTAGTAAAAAAATAAAAAATAAAAAGATAGAAGTCAAAATCTTCTCCGCATTTTCCGGTTTGTAGGACATTCGATAGAGCCGCAATCAATTTCTTGCAATCACTTAATAGAAGAGAAGTAAGCAGCATCAAAAGTGAAAAAAAAAAAAAAAAAAGAAAGAAAAGAAATATTACATATATATCAACCGCAAGCTGAAGGTAGAAGCAGTTTACTATTATACACCCAAAACAATAGGATAGACTATTATCATCTCATCCAAGACTCTATTGTTTTGTTTTGACCCAATTTGCTAATTTACCCAACTTCAGCATTTTGAGTTTCGCCCTTAATTTAAATTACGCGTCAAGAAAAACAGAGAGCTCTGAATACCAGTCAAATTTAAGGGTCAAGTGGGGACATAACACGAATTATACGTCACATCCTCTCTAAGTTTAAAGCGGAAATTAAGCTTGACAAGTTTGGAAAATAAGACTAGAATCTAAGCTAAAGTGGAGATTCTCAATCCGACTTCCCTACAAAAAAATACCACCTTCAATTACTAAGTTATATAAGGTACCCAGGGATTGTGGAATTAGTTATAATTTAATTTTTCACAATCGTACTCCGAAAATTAAAACAAAGGAAAAATTAGGGAGCTTCTATTTTTCGGGCACTTTGTGGTTACGATCTCTCTTAGTTAATTAAAGTTTCACTGATAAGGGTTCCTTTTTTCAATAAGAGATTCTTGTATTTTTTTTGTTTGGATTGACTACCCCGTCAACATTGGAAATAGATTTTGTTGACTTTTGTTGTCAATATAGTCAGAAGCAACATTCCCTATCTTGTACCCCTCCCAGTTTAGGTACACGTTAATTATCTACTTGCAGCGCAACTATAGAAAAAAAAGCTAAGCACTCAGCAAATCATTGCAATTAAGGCAATAAGAAAAAAAAGAAAAGAGAATCTACGAAAGTCACGCAACTGGACTGTAAGGAAGCAAATAAAACACTAAAGAAAATTTTAGATTTTGAAAAAGTCAAGTAAATTATTATTGAGTAACATCATTAAATCGGGTTACAGCATTGAAGAAAGGTTACGATAAGAAACTTGAATACGGGGGTATGGAGAAACAAAGAACACTTTTCCATTCTCTCATAAAGCATTATCTGCCACTGTCCCTGCCACTGCCAATTTTACTGACACCTCCACATGAACATGAACATGAACAGAAATATCAACAAGAGCATCAAAAAGATGAAGAAATGGGTTCACTGAAATCGAGGGCAAAGACATCACCTTCGGCTTCTCCTTACGACATTGGTGGTAACTCTCCGCCAACAACCAAGGAACCTCTTTCCCTTAAGTTCATTCATAAGCCAAGTCGTTCTAAGGAATTGTTTGAGAAGGCGCAGGATCCTACTAAGGCCAACTCTCAGTTGAATAGTAAGCATGCATTTGATTTGCTGCTGCTGCTGCAATACACTGAAACTGATGAGATTAATACCGAAGATGACTCGGAGTGTGCCTTAGTGGAATCCGCGTCAACCGTAGAATATGAGAACCCTGAGGAACATCATAGACTTATCCGCAAGAAATCTGGGGAAGTATTGAAGCCATTGCTAAAGGATACATCCACTTACTCATATTTTAATAAAAAGAGAACTCAATCGCTCCCAACCACACCTACTTATAAGCAGGTTCATTTTGGTACTGGTAACGATGTTCGTTATTTTAAGAAGAAAGACCGGCCAGCCGCTATTTCTGCATCTAATTCTCCAATGTTAGAAGGTAGCATGAAAATTAATGGTGCTGAGGGTGATGAAAGTTATGACGATGAAGATGATAGCCCTTATGAGTCAGATTTGGATTTGGATTCTGATTTGCACATGGATCTTGATAAGCATGGATCAACAGTAGTTAAAAGACTAAACTCTGTTGACTGGCATTTGAAATTGCCCAATTTCCCTGAATTGTCGTATGACGCCAAAATTTTTGAAAATAAAAGTATCGTGTTCCTTGAAAGATTATTTATTAGTATAGACAAGAAATTTCTTCTTGGGCATGTGGCGGTGAAAAACTTGGCTTTTGAAAAGTCCATTTTGGTCAGGTATACTTTTGATCATTGGTCCACCATTATCGAGATCCCCACAATATACGTTCCTGATATCCCACAAATATTGAAAAAGAATCACTATGATCGTTTTATTTTCAAGATACCATTGAATAGTTTATTTAACAGCTTCAGAATCAGCAACAACAACAACACTAGCAACAATTCTGAGCCCAACACGAAATCGTTCCAACTTTGCATAAAATACACCACGGACGACACGGAATTCTGGGACAATAATGGCTTTAAAAACTATGACATACATCTTACAAAAATCGGGTCTAAAAAGGACTCACTGAAGCAGGTCCCTTCTGCAGCGGGTCCTCCACCTACCCAACAATTGAAAGCACTTCAAACTCATACCAAACAGCCTAGGTATTCTTCTTCTTATCTCAAGAGAAGGTCATCAGATTCGACATTGGAAGTTAAAAACCATCATCATGAGAAAGAAGAGGAAAGCAAACCAGATGATGAAGACAAAAACGTTAGCAATGGATCGGCAGGCACGACCAATGTTACTTCGCTTAATTCGCCAGATGCATACTTTAATTCAGCATCACCACAAGTATCATCACGCATTTATGGTACGAATAATTCGCCCTTTAATTACAACTTTGCATTTTCGAACAACTCAGCGTTATCTATTGACAATAACAATTATCAAATATCACCTATTATCTCTCTCCAGACTGATACCAAAAAGCCAAATTTTGACGACAAGTTCAAATTGAATGCCGACGGTCCTCCTTCAGCTTTTGATGAAGGTAGAAGACTTTCTCCGACAGAGGAGTTCAGTAAATTAAAGGATAATAAGTCTGCTAGTGAGCCCCCATCTCATCAACCTGTGTCCAAGGTTAACAATGCATTGGATGCTAAATCATATAAAGAGCTATTGGACACCTATTGCTTTTTTTCTAAACCTGATGAAAGTGTTGATGAAAATAAAAGTTCTAAGCCACCTTTGACCACCGTATCATCTATTTTAGGGTATCAGGGATAATATAGATTTATATATAGCGATGATAATATACATGTTAGAGTAATTATTTGCCCAAATGTACGAGGCGAGTGAAATTTTCCAACTTTGGATTTTTCCCTGTCAATCTCAATTAAGTAATCAAAACCGTTAGAAGTTAGAATTTTGGTTTTGAGTCACGAAGATAGCCCTGGTTCTACAATTTATTAATCAATTTTATTGTTGCCATTTACTATACACTTTGAATATTAACTATAACTCACATAGAAAATTGATCCTTATTTTTTGTTTATTAATTTCCCATTTACTACGACTCATCGTCAAAACAATACATTTTGACGTTACCGTTTTCCATTCCTACACAAAATTTAGAATCACTAAGGGCAACGGCGCTGACACTTGAAGAATTACCAAAAGTGTGTAAACATTTACCACTTTGTAAATCCCAAACTTTAACTAATCTGTCATGTGCACCACTAATGATTCTAAATGTATCTGAACTGATGGACCAAACCCCTTCAATGTGGCCAAACTGAGTACGAATACATTTCCCAGTTTTAATATCCCAAAGCTTGATAGTATTATCCAAAGAAGCACTTAATAAATGTGTAGGATAGTTTGCATTAGTAGGTAATTGAATTTCATTAATTTCCTCTGTAGATGATGCTTCATCGCCATCAGGAATAGCTGTCAATGAAGCTTGGCCATTTCTGCCTGAACGTGCAGCAGGTACCGCTACACCATTTTCGTCTTCAATAATTTCATTATCACTATCACTATTCTTGTCATAATCCATATCATCTTTGTAGATGAATGGAATAACACTTTGAATTTGACCTATATGGCCATTGTTTTCAATTCCACCAAAAATTCTTAAACATTGATTGTTTTCCAAATCCCACATTCTGATAGTGGTATCGTCTGAAGCACTGAAGACAGTATTCGAAGGTGAATGAATTTTTACGGAATTGACCCAGCTTGAGTGGCCCCTAAGAGTATAACAAGTTCTGGAGTCTACGTGCCAGACTTTAACAGTGTGGTCAGCAGACCCAGATACAATAGTTTTGTTACAAAAGTCAACGCTAACCACTGCAGCATCATGTCCTCTGTAAGTAGAAATACATTGCCCAGTATGGTAGTTCCAAACCTTGATAGTATTATCTAAACCACCAGTAATTAATTTTTGAGAATCAAAAACTAACGAACGAATTCCCTTAGTGTGACCTGACAATACTTTCAAACATTCTCCGGTATCCACTTTCCAAATTCTGATAGTCGAATCATATGAACCAGTCATAAGATACTTCCTATTAAATTGAAGGCAAGTAACATCGTCAGTATGACCATAAAAGGTTTTGATTGTATGAATACCCTTTCTCCAATTCTTCTCTAGCTTGTAACGCTCCGAGTAAACAGATTTCCAAGCTCTTCTCTTGAGTTTAGTGGTAGCTGCCGTATTTGATGCTATGACGGATGATGATGATGAAGATTCTGGTACTGCTGTTGCAGTCGAGGTAGCATTCTCTGATTCTGTATTAGAGGCTTGGCTGTCGCCAATCACAGCAGTGTTACTAGGAGTAACTGTAGCACTTGCGTCAGAGCTTGCAGCTTCAGTCTTTCTTCTTTTAACTTCTTGATCATACTCTCCTTGATACTCTCTAGCCCTCTTCATATGCATTAGTGGTAAGCCCCATCCACAATTTGGACATTTCCTGTCGATATGCTGTTCACACATGTGATGCCACACTCTGTCATCATCAGCCAACGATTTCCATTTTCTGGAAACCTGAGCAGCATTACACAATGAGTTACAGTCCAAGTAACATAAAATCTTTAGAGAGATTTCCATGGGTAATGTGGAAATAAAATCGATTCTTATAAGCTGACTAACTTCTTGTGCAATAAATGATAGTTGTGGGAAACAACACTGTGATAAGATTCCCTGTAAAATCAATGATCTATGTTGGTCAGGGGCAGCAGAAAAAATAGACCAGACATGAGACAAAGCTTCTTGATCCCTAGAAGGCAACTTTTCCATCTTCTTTTGAATCTTTTTCATTTTGGCTTCATCTGTGGTTTTGTTACATGTAACATCAGGATTATGGCGGTAACAAAACTTATGGAAGTTATCTTTTGGAATCATAGACTGATCACTAATATGCTTGACAAGAAATGGAGTCACCACTGACATGTCCTGCTGGCCGGCGTCTGGAGGAGGGGTATGAAACTTGGAGAATGGAGCATCCAAAGCTGAGGATGCCATTGATGCAGATGAGGAAGATGCAGGAGGAGGAACAAGGCCAGTAGTAGTACTTGGAGATGCCGCTGTGGAAGCAGCTCTCGATTGTACTGCAGAGGGGGTAGTTGCCTTCTTGAATAACTGTAATGAGGGTGATGCAGATGAAGTTTGTGTGGGTTGTGCCAGTTGAGCTGGTACTTGGAACGGTGGAAGCAAGCTCGTATTCTGTATAGTGGTCACCTTCTCATCATTCTCGGCCAAGTCTGAGCGAAGAGTATCTGGTGTCACCTGGACACCTCTCTCTGACGATATGCCGTGAGTAAGAATGCTATTGAACGCCCTAGTATGTTCCAGCAGTGGTTGGGTGGCGGGAGCACAGCTATCTTGGAGGTTCATGCTAATGTATTATTAATAAACTTGCAGTTCTTAACTAATAAAAATTCAAATTTGTTATATAATAAAAAACTCTTCCTGAAAAAATATGAGGGGAAGGCCAAAAGTGAAAACTATTCCTTAGTATATATAATCTGAGATACGTATATATATAGATGGGATGCGTGAATATGTATAGAATAAGCCTAACTCGTGACGGTTAGTTGCCAAAAACAATAAAAAGAAATGGTAGTGAAGATTGTGGTCGAGGGGGATCCACAGTTTTACAAAAAAGGAAGAAAAAATAAAAGTGCAGAATTGATGATTAGAGTTGTGCAGGAAGGTTACCAGGGAAGTAAGAAATTTTCTAGAAATTTTGAACTGGAACGCTCGCAGCGTAGAGCTTCAATGTGGGACACAATTGAATTTCTCTGCACATTCGCCTATTTTGAAGAAAAGCCACAAACCCGCTCATGGGGTGGCTCACACCCAGACGTGTGAAGCGATGGATCTTGAAAAATAAGTAGGACCTCTTTGTTCAAGGGCCTATCTACACGTGATATTGTGTAAAACTTAATGGCAAACACCATCGAGCTACAGCGGTAATTTAATAATATGTACGTCTTCATTACAAATCTCCTTATGGATCTCCTGAAGCGAGATGTATTTCCCTCAAATTTAACCACTGTGGTCATGAATGCTTATATTCTAGCTGGTGCACATTTCTTTTTTTATCTTTTACTTTATTTAAATTTTTTTTTTTTTTTATTAATTTAATTTTTCACCTTCTACATACTCCGCTTTACATTTTTCAATGATCTTCTACACTATTGTAAATTTAAGCTTCTCTCATTGTTTGGGAATAATTGGCGCTGTGGCGCCATTTACGGAACCAGCGCATATATGGATAAAACAGAGCTAGACGCAGGATTCCAGACGCGAGTAGTCGTTGCATTCATGTGTACGTCTAAAAGGGCCCTATTCTGGGACTGCCTTTGTTTTGGGAATAACCAATCAAACTGGGAATAGCGCTGTCCAAAAGAAGAAAAAACAAGATAGTCAGTATATAGAAAAGGATATCATTGTATAGGAACCGACATGGCTGCAAATGGGAAAATTGCAAGGTCCTGTATACAATACACAAGTGTGGTTCCATTGTATTGTTAGCTAGACGACGAGAGAAGACTTCTACATTCTTCTGACATTCACTATAACAGTTAAGCAAGAGAAGTCCTATTGGATACCAATCAGACATATCTACGCTCATGTGATCCTCTCATCTGTAAGAATAAAACTAGGAATCGCAAGATATTTATGTCCTCTCTCTCTCTCTATCACTCTGTCTCTCTCTCTCTCTCTCTCTCTCAACGATATCCTTTCAGGTATTCCTCTATTAAGCTTCTGTCCACTGATATTACCTCTTCCTTGAAGTGAATCAATTTGTAGGCCTCACTTATCATTTGATTAAGCTCGCTGATTTCTTCCTGTAAACGCTTTATTTTCATATCCAGTTCCAACTGTTTCTTCTGGTACTTTCTTTCTTGATACAATATCCTCGTTTCCACCAATTGCTTGTACCCACCAATTAACGTGTCAGTTCGAGGAAGCTTTGCTACCTCGGTCTTCAAAGTTTCATCCAGTGCGATCAAGTTTTCAACATTTTGAATTTCGGCGTCAAGCTCTGACTCTAAGCTTTCAATTTCTGCTGTACCTTTCTCTACAGCAGATTTTTCAAGAATCTTCTTTTCATTTCTTAAAATAGCAATCTGTTCCTTTAGTAAGCTGTTTTCATCCATTAATTTAGAATTATTCAGGGAAAGCTCAGTATTCCTTTTGAAGAGTGAGAGCATTGCTATGTTTCCCTTCTGTTTGTCATAGTTTAAGTTTAAATGACTAACTTCTACCTTAAGAGACTTGAGCTCATCCACTAGGATATTTCCCTTCTGTACATGGTTTACTTTCTGCAAAGATGACTTTAATGTTTCAATAGCTTCATGAAGTCTCTTGATCTCCAAGTCTTGAACTTTCTTCTGGGCATCAATTAGTTCTTGAGTGTGACTCGGAGCAGCTACAGCAACAATAGCATTTGAGTTCCTGGTTGGTCGCCTGGAACTAATGTTACTTACTGCTATAGCCTCTTTGTCGCTCTTTTCATTCACCAACTTGTCTGGCTCTTTCTCTGTCATTTGCTCTTTTTCCTTTCCTTTCTCTTTTTCAATCAGCGTTTGCTTCCGCTTCAGCTTTGCTGTCTTCTTCTTTGCTGTCTTTTGCTTTTCTTTCCTTTGTTTTTCTTTTCGCTTTTTCAATACTGCCAGTGGAACTGTATCCCTTGGAATTTTATCAAGCTCTACTTCAAATGCACCAAGATATTTGTAAATAAACGCATTGAGTTGACTAGAATGCTGCTTCTTCAATATGTACTTAGCATTACGATTTCTGCTATCAATTTTACGAAGATAGAACAATATCTTTCCACTCACAAATGCACTGAAGTTTTTAGTGATGTTCTTCATTTCTGGATTGATTTTAAGTAATTCAATACAAATGAGTTTAATTGGCATCCCAAGGCCCTTGGGATCATTTTCATAGAGGACTTTAAAAATTTCGTATAGAGCGTCGTCAGCCTTTAGAAATGGGTCAATCTCTCTGTCTGGTCTAGGAAAGCCACTTTCAACTAACTTGGATTTTGGAACTTCTTCAGTAGACCCGCTACTTGGGATTTCCAATGGAACAGTCAGTGTGGTCGCAACCAGCTGCCTTTTTCTGCTTATTTCTTGTTCTTTGATCTTCCTTTTCGGTTTGTCTGGTGTTTCGAAAGAGCCTGCAATTGGAGCCAGTGCCTGCACGGGTGCTGGTGGGTCAATCGATGAAGTGTTTACAGGTTGGACTGGCATTTTTAATGCGAGGTCAATTTCGAATATAGGTTCCACCTTATCGTACACATTCACGTCCTTGGCGATCTTCAACGCGCTTTCCAAGGGAATGTATGTACCTTGGTACTTCCAATTTCCCACATTTATCTTCTCAAAGGTATCATTGGCGCAAATTTCATCTAGAATACTACGTATTTGTTTTCTGGGGAGGCCAGCGATATTGAGTAAGTGAGTTACATTGATATACGAATCGAATTGTCGTCTTAAAATGAAGCTACCTTCCTCCGTAGTGTACTCGAACACTGGGACGGTAGCATAGTCTGCCGGGAATACGTTGGTGGCCATTTCTCGTGGTCTCTGCTTGCTAACCTATCACCCTAGTAGAAGTTATTTTGAATGTTTACAAAGTTCCATGCATTGGCAGATGCAAGTGGCCTGCATATACGTAAGGTCCCAGATCGCTTAGAGGGAGAGTCAAAGAGATCGATAAGGTGGTGGGATCCAGCATAGATCGTGAAAATGATACAGCGGTTCACGAATGGTCAACTAGTGGTTAATACTGGTCGATACTGGTTCTTAGATGTAGTTCTTGTCGGAATGAAAGCCTCTTGATGTGGTCTTGTTCTTTTTGTCTTATGTAGGTCGATTGTGTGATTTGTAACACAAAGCTGGCATGATGGACCAAAGAGTACCATCAGAGGAGAGAAATGCAGGGATGGTGCTTTGCTAATATGATGTACCTAATTGACTTCAGAATGCTAAGGTATAATAGAAATAGCAGTGCAGATAATCTTTAGTTAGAGCAAAGGCGAAATAGGCGAATTGTGCACTCTGAATTTTGTGTGCTATTTGCGTTTTTGCACCCATACATTAAAAATAAGATTCATTTACAGATCCTGTACTTTCAGCTTTACGTTTAATTAAAAGATATATTATTAGTGCCAGTTTTCCTTCTTCCACTTCACATAATCTAAGTGAATACAGGGTACCTTTGTTCGAAACAAGGCAATAAAATGGAATATGATACATTACTCTTGATAAGAGCTTGAGGTGGATTACTAATGTTAGTCGCATCTCATCTCATCGCACCAAACCTCCAGGTGCAAGCTTACCAGCAGTCCAAGTTCATATCTTGCACTGATATCTAAACTTATATAATTCGTACACAATAGACCATCCTGCTCAATCCCATGAGAATACTCCCCCTATAGCTATCAAACCTATGCTAGCTTCTGCCATCGACCTTTTCAGCGTTGCTCAGGTACTAACGTATCTATTTGCAGCCATTTATCGTCACGTGACATATTGATGCTCATCTATTTTGTAAGCTTGGACCATTTTTTGCAATTTTTTTTCAAACCTTCTTGAACCTTCCATTATAAGCTTGGTTGAAAGGATAAAGTATATATATATTCCATGAAGAGACCCGAGGACCTTGATTCTGAAAATATTGACAAAAAACCAAGACTAGACATAGAAGGAAATAGTATCGTAGAAATGTCAGCTGAGAATAATAGCCATCGCGATGAGAATTTCACAAGTGTTGGAGATCAAGTTGAAGAAGTTGATCACAATCAGGGTATCACCAATACTGGTATGACCGATGTAGAGGGACACCCAGTTCAAGAGATTGAATCTTTGTGTATGAATTGTCATGAAAATGGTACCACGAGGTTACTTTTGACCAAAATTCCATTCTTCAGGGAGATCATTATCATGTCGTTCGCCTGTTCCCATTGTGGATTTAAGAATTCTGAAATCCAACCAGCTGCTCAAATTGCTGAAAAAGGATCCCGTTACATCCTCAAGATTGAAAACAAGAAGGACTTCAATAGGCAAGTAGTCAAGTCCGAGAGTGCCACTTGTAGATTTGCAGAGTTAGACATTGAGATTCCTCCAAAGAGGGGCCAATTGACCAACGTTGAAGGCTTATTGCAAGAAATGATTGATGACTTAGAATCCGATCAACCTGCTAGAAGAGAACAACAACCAGAGATATTCACCAAGATTGCTGAAGTAATCGCCAAGGTTAAGTCTTACATCAATGCTGAACCAAATACGTTACCATTGACCTTGACTGTTGACGATCCAGCTGGTAATTCGTGGATTGAGTATGCACCAGGTGAATCGACTCATAAATGGTCAATGTACGAGTATGGAAGAACTGCTGAACAAAATGTCTTTTTAGGGTTAATCTCAGAAGATGAAGTTGCTCAGCAGAGATTGTTGGATTCCAAAAACAAGAAAGCTGCAACTGATAAGAACATATCAAGTCAAGTTAAAAAAGATCAAGAAACCGCTACTACTGCAGACTCTGCAGACTCTTCAGCTAACCCTAAAACTACAGGTTTTCTTTCTGATGAAACTGAAATTGAAAACCTTGCCAACGAAGTTCAAACCTTTACTGCAACTTGTTCCTCATGTTTCGAACCTTGTGAAACTCACATGAAAACGGTGAACATTCCACATTTCAAAGATGTTATCCTTATGTCTACTGTTTGTGACCACTGTGGATACAAGTCCAATGAAGTTAAAACTGGAGGTTCTATTCCAGATTTTGGTAAGAAGATTGTTCTCAAAGTCACTGATCCAGAAGACTTAGCAAGAGATATTTTGAAATCTGAGACATGTGGATTGAACATTCCAGAATTGAACTTGGATTTAACTCCCGGTACCCTTGGAGGTAGATTTACTACCATTGAAGGTTTATTGACTCAAGTTTATGAAGAATTACATGGTAGAGTATTCACTCAAACTTCAGACTCTATGGATGAAGAAACCAAACAAAGATGGACTACCTTCTTTGCTAGATTGCAAGATGCTGTGGACGGTAAGATTGGATTTACCATCGTAATGGTTGACCCATTAGCTTCAAGTTATATCCAAAATGTCTATGCTCCAGATGTTGATCCTAATATGACCACTGAAGAATTCGAGAGAACTCACGAACAAAATGAAGATTTAGGTCTAAACGACATGAAAACTGATTAATTTCTTTTAAGAATTCAAATGATCAGCTGCAAATAGATGGATAGATGGATAAATAGAAACAGGTGAAGTGGTGTTGGGTAAAGGTACAAAAAGAAGATTCAATAAATACAAGGAAGTAAATCAAATTGAATACAAGAGTACATGATATGTAAAAAGTGTAATATAATGATTGTTCTAGTAAATTTCTATATTAATTGTAAACTTTTTTCACACATTTTTGTGATACTCTCTTTCGTCATCAGATAAATGCTCAGACTTGACCTGTCGTAAGGCTTCTCCCCATTCGGTATTTTCTAGTTGCTCGCCAATGGATGCAACGTTAATATAAGAGTTCCTTGAAGATGAAATATCTGACTTTTGAGAGACAGCAATATCTTCAACCGAGCTAGTTGCATAAAACGTGGGATAGAATGGATTATTTGGTGATAAATCTCCAGCGGTCGCAGGGTTTGCAGAATTGGTTGGCATCTTCATGAATAGCTGTGGACGTGCATTCTGATTATTAGTATCATCTGCGTCTTGATTTTTCTTTGGAGATGAACGGTGCCTCATATCTGCTGACTTGTAAACGTGAATGGGAACTTTTGGAATATACATATTTCCATCGAATTGCCTATTGTTGTCATCATCATCAGAGCCAAACATGAGTGCGTTGAAATCTTCAACATTTTGCTCTGAACCTTTGTAGTTGTCGATGAACGGATTCTCGGTCTCGTCAGAAACAAATATAGAAGGACCAGCACCAGCGTTAATCCCTCTTTTCCTCAATTCTTGATCCTTTCTGTATTTCCAGCGAACAACATAAGTACTTACTATATCATAAGCCCTTTTCATTTTCAACTTCTGTTCCACCTTCTGTAAAAGCAACCTTCGATCTAAGAAGTCAATTAAATTTAAACATTGTCCTTCTTCAAATGCAATATAAAGTGGTAACTGTAAAATAAGCCTGGTGAAAGAGATTCCAGGATCTCCAAATATTTTCATATTCATCAAAGCTTCTTCTATAAATCTTTCGTAGACAAGTCTTCTTTCACGAATTTTGGGGACATCCATGTTTTCAAATGTTTCTTCAATAGTATCATACCTAACCGTTATATCATATGGATCGAATGGATTGTTTCTGATGAACCATTTCTTACATAATTGTTTAATCTCCAATGACCCAGTGTAGAAATGGAATGATAATGCACCATCTAACCGATGAAGGAACTTGGGCAAATCTTGTGGGTCAATATATCCAGTACCTTCTGGGTCAAACTTTTGCCAATGTCTCTTAAATTTTCTAATTTCTTCTCTTTGAATTAATTTAATGTAAGATGAGCGGTTATTGATATAACTAAAACTGTCAAGAATCAAAGAAACGAACATATTAAGGAAAATATACATCGAAACGACGTTCCACAAAACAAACAAGATATAAGCATACTGCTTGTTACCACAGTCACTTGTCCCTTCACCATCATTTTCAGTGCAAAATGGTGTGGATAATGTATAATCAACCATAATATAATTCCACCCTTCACCAAAACTGCACCTGAACAAAACAATAAGCGCCTTGGGAACAGATCTAAGGTTCAAATTATCAGTACCGTTTGGTCCAATTTTTGTTAAACCAAAAATTTGATTCAAAGCAATTGCAAAAACCAAGAAGACAATCATCCAGGTGAATGAAAGTGATATTAAAGTAGGCAAACTAGCAGAAGCAAATTTCAATAATTGTGATAATCTGTTACTTCTTGGGATAATGAAAGTCAAAATCCCTACAAGGAACAACTTGTTGATATTGATGAAAATATTCTGTTGAGAAATGAAAAATCCAATAATCGTACAGATGAGGGCACCCCAAGATACTAACAAATAGAAGATATTCCACTTATTTCTAAAGAATGAGTCGAATCCCTGCCCAATCATTAACATGATTGCATTGACACCAAATGAAAATGAAGAAGTCACAAATATTACTTCTCTAAAGATCATTACTCCATCGATATCTGGGAAGGTCTCAATCAACAATGCAAGGACATGTAACACCAAAATGAAATTCAAGTAAACTTTCCAAATAAGGCTCTTTTCTATTGTGAGTTTATAGCTAAATCTCCTCAACCAGTTCATGTCACCTAAATTTTTACGCTTAGATGCTTTAATTTGAATTAAAAACTTTCTCACTTCGTACCATGAAATTTGATCATCAGTCATGTATGCTCTACCAGTTGACTTCGAATAGTTGACAATAATAACGGAAACAAACAATGTTAAGATAAAAATAGTACTAACAAAATTGAATAACACGACGAATACACCATTGATTGGAGTCAGAAATTCTTGTGGTGGCGTTCCTATCCCTGTCAGGGCCATAACATTTCCCAACAAATCAACCCAACCTTCTAATGAAACAATCTCAAACAAAGTAGCAAAGGAAGTAGAGAAGCTATTGAACTGCAAGTAAGGTTCTTGATAGATGTTTGGCAGATAAACATCCCAATTGAATACAGTGTTAGTATACTCATTGTAGCAATTACTTTTGGTTGAGGTGCCATCAAGACAAACTCCCAATCTACCGTTGAAAATATTCAATCCCCATATGGAAAAGGGAAACAATAAGCACAACGAGATAATTCCAGCGTTAATGATTTTACCAAAACCTGAAATCATCGTATTGTGGAAATTATTCTTCGCAGTGGTACTTATAGTCAATAAACGTAAAGCTCTCAAAGCTTTTAAACCTCTAACAATTCTTGACAAATTTCCATCATTTTTTAAGAAAGATATAGTTTCAATCCAAAGCGAAGTAAGAACGATTAAATCAATCAAGTTCCATGAAGATCGTAAATATGCGTTTGGGGTAAAGGATATCCCATCTGCTATAATTTTAATAAGAAATTCCACAGTAAAAGTAAAAGTGAAGACACATTCAATGTATGTGGACCAATTCCAAATTCCACTTTGAGCGATTAACTCGTTTCTGTACAAAGGAGTCAAATAGCATGCAGTGAACACTAATGATAATGACATTAAGAACATAACCACTAAGAACACTTCCAGAACTACTTTATGAGGCTCAACACCATCGATTCTCTCTCCGTAAGAGGATTTTACAATTTTCTGACAAAATCTTCTTAGTGGATGATTGGGTGCAAGGACGTAAAACACTTTATTAAACCTGGGATTCTCTTCTAAGAATTTATTCTGCTTCAATATTAGTTTATTTCTATCAGTGATAATTCTTTTGGCGAAATTGGCAGGATTGAAATTAGTCAACTCATGATCAACTATATTTTTATCGTAAAATGGATTTTCAAACATGGAAACAGATTTAGAAGCTTTTTCTTTTATCCAAAATTTGAAATTTGAAATTGGTAGGCGTATTTTTTGAGCAAGAGAACTAGTTCTCTCGTTATCAGGACTAACAGGATTCGTTTCACGTTCATTGTCGTCATCCCTATTCTCATTATTTCTTTCTTCATCCTCATTGTCATCCAAAAAATCATTGACAGCAGTGCCACTCAAGAGTAAGTTAATAACAGCCTTCTCTAAATCTTGATGTACTCCATTCTTCTTAAATAATTTATTTTTCAACTTAATCAAGATACCAGAATCAGAATCTAAACTTTGAAGCTTCGTAGTCATATTTTCGATAAATTGTATCAATTGTTGTTTTCTCTTTCCCAGTTCTGATATTTCCAATGCATGTGCAATGACTGCAATGAAAATATTCAATAAAATGGAATTTGATATGAAGAACCAACCAATGAGCATCATAGAACCATAAGCTCTAGATGATATATTTTTAGCGTACTGTTGTAAAGGATACATAACTTCAGTCCAATTTTCAGTCGAAGTTATGATATACAATGCAACGAATGAGTTAGGGACTGTATGCATAGGGTATGGGATATTGTCGAAATCAGTAACTTCATCTAACGGAATTGTTCCTTCAAAATACCTTGCAAGTATAATACTGACCAAGAATAGCAAGATAAAATAGAACAAAGTTAAATCCCAAATTGCCTTAAAATTTTTTATGATCTTCACCCAAAGACTGCTAGTTAAATTAGTGAAAAGTACCACTCTATAAAACCTCATAATTTGGAAACAAGTAAGCCAGTAATAAGCTTGTCCTAATCCCACTTTAACTGGTCCCAAAACAATAATTGAGGTGATTATAGCCAAAAATAAATCAAATGTGTTTCTCTTTTGAGCCATAAATAATCTCCAGTTTGGAAGATAAGCTGCAAATCTAATAATTATTTCTAACGCAAAGCAAGCAGTAAAGCCACACTCGAACCTATACAAGTGAGTTCGGCGACGATCAGTAATATCATACTTTCTGGTACACTGAACTATAAGGTCGATACTAATCAATAATATCCAGATAAATTCAAAACGATAATAATTCTTCAAGAATACGCTTTGGTTCTTGAGATAGTCTACTCTTTTTGCATGGGAAGATATAGCCTGAGCGCCTTCAGAAATTGCATTTGTTGCCTTCTTACCTAAGGTTCTTGATCCAAATATTCTGAACCCAGCTTCCGGTTCCTTCCCTCCATTTTCTAATTTCTTTTGTTCATTTTCCATTCTTGTAATATTGAAGGACTTCACGATGACTGCAATAAAGACGTTCATTAACCATACCGTCAACATAAAAGCACCGAAAATATAAAACAAACAAGCTGCCACATTATCTGAGTCCATTGTATAGTACATGATGTCAGTAAAAGTATTAACACTCATAATGACAAACACAATTTCCATAGATTGAAGAATATTATCGTAACTCAATGTGCCTCCGTATGGATTTTGACCACTAACACACTGAGAATATATTGGGCAAGTGTAACCCTTAGATACAGTCGAAGGAGTACCATCTCTTTGAATATACGGCATAGGAGCAGAATTACTGATGTTCAAATAGGAACCACAATACTGGCCCTCATTTATGTAAGTATCTTCAGAGTCATCTGGATTAGTCCATACACATTGTCTAGATAGTGACGATTTAAATGATTGGACGCCGATAATTCCAAAGAGCACCCAAAAGCACAATATGAACAAAGCTACATCCACTAACTGAGGCAAAGCCAACTTAACCGCTCCTAAAATAGTAGAAGTACCAGTCGTTAAGTTACAGAATCTCAAGATACGCAAACAACTGAGCGCACGAAATATAAATATCGAGTGCTTGACATCATATCTATTGATGGAAAGCAAAAGAGATATCCAGAATGTAACCATGGAAATGAAATCAATACGATTCCAAGAATTTCTCAAAAAGGCTCGCTTCAACTGCAATTGATCAATTTGTCTTTGGCGTTGACCTTTATCAGGTCCGATAAAGAAAGTGTTAGCTTTTACAAACTTTTTTCCATTTCTAACTTCAGCATCTCTTCTTCTTTCTTGGTATGAATTTGAAAAGGAGGCGCTCTTTTCTGATTTTTTAGAACCATGGAACTCTTCAGAGAAATTAACACCGTCATGATGCAGTGAAAGCATGTACTTTTGGCGTAAATCAGGAATTTCTTGTGCTGTTAAGTCAAAGGGATTTATGGTATTTTTAGTTTCGTCTAGGTTAATTTCTTTCACGTCTAACTCGCTGGGTTGATAATTAGCATAAAACGAATCGGGAATATGTTGTCTGGTGGAGTTCGCTTTCGGCATCAATTTGTTTAATCCCCATGTATGCTGCAAAGAATGTGAAAGATATTTGTAAGACTTTGAAAATACTGAGCTATCTGGATAGTCCAAGCCACATTCTTCATACATAATGCGGTCATCAAAAAGTCCATGAGTGATGATTTTAGCAAATACTTCGAATGTGTATGCTATATTAATGCTCATTAATATGTAATCTGCCCAATTGTTTCCGTGATAGTAGTAACCTCCCATTTTAATCGGATTCCATTGTCTATAGGTAAGTAATGCAACTTGAAGAAGAAGCAAAGACAATAGAATAGAATTCGTCTTCGAATCTGCGAGTATTTTGAAACAGAACTGTCTTATTTTCGAGTCAGGGCCAAACATTTTTAAAGTTTTACCAAAAAGGTACATGTTACTAGGTTCTATTAGATTGGACACTCGTGTTTTACTCGAGTGTGATGCTGATGTGACGTCTTTCCTGGAAGAGCTAAATGGGTTCATCTGGTGAAGTATAGAGTCTGACTCGCCTCTAAGTAGGGAGGCAGCACTTCCATTTGGCTGTAAACTTCCAGATGGAGTGACTGGAGCATCTGAGCTGGTATCTGGCATATTTTCATCCCTTGTCGGTTGCACATCTAGGTACAAGCCAAGACCATCTGATGCAGTGTTTTGAAACAATTCTTGAGAATGTCGACTTGAATTATTTCCACTTCTAGTCTTTGCCATCAATAAACTATTATTATCACCACCATCTTTATTTACAAAATGACTAGCTATATCGTCGTCGGCGAGGTTGCCTTCATCATAAATAGAATTATGCGCGGATTCTAAGTTAGGAAGAAGGGGCGCCTTCTTGGCTACTGGAGTTGTTGCAACTTGACTCTTTGCCGCGATACGATCAGATAATCTGGAAAATACTTCCGCAAACTTCTTTGTAGAAGGAGTTGTAGGGGGTACAAGATCACCTTCTCCTGGGACAGTTAAAAAAGTCGTATCTGGATTCTTTTTGGGACTTCCATGCAGCTTAAGCGATACACCACCGGAGCCTGCCGTTAACAACCCTGATTCCAAGTCAGTGTTAACAGAAAGGTTGAAGTTTCTCGCTTTTGAGGTATTATTGCTATTGACATTTTGATAAGGATGTTGGCGTTTATCGAAAATGTGACTGTTTGAGTCCGGTTGGCTCTTCGTCCTCAGTAAACTTAAATTTGCCAAAGGGATATTTTCTGCATATGAATGTGCTCCAGAGCCATCGTCTTGAAATGTACTATTGGAAACTTCTTTCAGTAACTTGCTCCCTTTTCGTTCACGCTCTTGTTGGTCGTCCTTACCGTGGGACGATTTCTGAACAGGAAACCACTCAGGCTCCTTATCGTCTGTCCCTAAAGCAAAGCTTAAGCCTTCCTTTAAAGCTTCAAGGTCATCATTTTCAGCAGCTTGTGAGATATATGACTTGGTCAGTTCAGGATTTTGCAGTGATCTTCTTGAAGCAGCGGGTGAAGGTGTACGAGTGGAGAAACCTCCATCTCGCTCTTCCCTAGCACTAGCTGTAGATAGGTAACTGTTTCTATTAGCTTGGTGAGAACCGCCGCCGGTGCGGTTGTCATAATTAGATCGGAATGGATTGTAGTGGTTTTGGTTATTACCATCATCCTCTTCCTCGTATGGTACTTCCCTTATGCCGTGCCCCTGTTCCATTAGTGTATTTAATCTTCTGTGCTATGTGGATTGTGAAAAATTATTAAAGAAAATCTAGAACCCTAATGCTATAAAATGAATTGAGAGAGAATAATCTCTATAACTATGCTGTTACTTCTTCCTTTTCTGGCAGATACAGGTTCCGCGTGAGCCTACAGTTCTATTACGCCGAGTTTGAAGAAGATAACACTAAAATTGAGCCAAATTTATGAGAGATGCTAAAAGATATCACCGTCTTAAATCACTCAAGGGCACAATCTTTCCGCTGCTACTCTGCAGCTGAAATTATTTTGTGCCCCATGCAGGATACATTTGATCGCTCCGTTTCAATAAAGGGCAGTGCTGCTGGGCAACAACCAGAGAACGCTGGGCAGCAACCAGACTAGAGAACGCAACAATTTTCCAAGGAAGTATTTGTCAAGCATTGGAATTCAAGGTAAATTTTACTTTGCGAACGACTACCGATTTGTTCGTCTTTTGGGTGCTTGTACGTCTTTTGTCGATGGTCATCGTTATTACTTTCCACAGAGATTAGACCAAATTTAAGAAGGCTTATACCTAAAATTCGCGAGTGCTAGTGGGGCGCAAGATGCCCCAAGATAAATTTAGAAGCTTTGGAAAAAAAGATAAAGTAATGGAACATCACTATCATAAGAGTGGATGGAGTTATGCAATACCCATCCTTGTATATTCTTTTCAGTGCGGTTCGATCTGCAGTAGGTAGCCACCATATCGGTAATCGCTATCACTGTCCTCTCCAATGTCTGGAACCACGTCTGTCCTGATCTGCAGCAACATCTTGACTCTTTCATTCTAGTCTCGTGACCTCTTCACTACATGCAGTCCCGTATTTTTTTCTTCATCAACTTGAAGAAATTCACACACTGAAAAATTTCAGTGTTGATCAAACCGGAAGTAGTCAGTGTTAACCTCGTACAAATGTCGTCTATATTGAGGAAGTTGCCTTCCAAGGAAAGGCTCCTCCAAGTGAAGAAGCTTAGTGCTGAAATTTTTGGGGCAAACTGGAACCCAGAAGGCAAAAGAAATGGATCCAAGATATTGAGAGCCCCATTGAAGGGACCAGAATTGAAGAACTACTACGGTGACAACAATGCGACTCCGACATTCAAAGATTTCAAAGCATGGTTCCCGGAATTGCGTTTAGTAGATCCAAAGGAAGTATACCGTTTGAAGATGGTGGACGATAGAAAGAAGAGAAACAAGGGTGCTCCAAAGAAGAAGAAGCAATAGAGATATCAATCGAAAAGCAATTAATTGTACATAGTCATGAAATAATACGTAATTTTAATAAGTTTTTTGAAGAAAGGAAAGTTTTGTTCCTTTCGTAGTCTATCTTGCCCTTTTCGGGCCTTTCAAATTGAATGTGTCAGTAAAGTCATCACGACTGTCATTGGCCAAGCTTAGTCTACCTCGTTTAAATCTGGATCCTAATTTAGGTAGCCTGGTAGCTTCAGTATTTCCTTCTGCAATCAGTAGTGTTTCCTCTTTCTCTTGTTCTTGCACTAGAATAGGCTTCACAGGCGACAATCTTTTGATTGACTCTATTTCTGCCTTTTCTATGCTGAGTGTTCGAGCAGCTGGTTCTAAAGCTTCAGGTTGCGCTTTGAGCTTCCTTATTTCTTCAACTTTCACCCAATCACCATCCGAAGTGACGATCACAATTTCTTCACTGCCGATATAATCCACGGTTTGAACAGCACCTGTGACGGGTTGATACAAAATTTGAGTAGACTTCAGATCAACGTTGTAAACGCTGACGTCTTGCAGTGTTGAGATTAACAACAACAGCCCATTTTCCACAAATTCTACCGAATTGATGCTCAGAGAAAGCTCGATTATTGAATCCACACTAACTTCGTACGTTCCTGATTGCAAGGAACAAACTAGCAATACTCCATCAAACAACAACACAAATGTATTCTCTGCTGTCTCAATAGCTAGAACGGATGCAGTCGCTCCAAACCTGATTGCACTGGAGATTTTAGTGACTTTCCTATACTGCTGGTTGAATAATGTCCACACAAGCGTCAGTCCATCCAAATTGATTTCAGTTCTTGCAACTATTTTCAAATGCTTTACTGAAGCGATAAGGATTGGGATCCTTATTGAGCTGGAATTTATGGATGCACTATCATTTCCTACTACTAACACGCACTCGTCTTCTTCGTCTCCTTGTTCTTTCTCGTTCTCTTTGTTTGCATCGTTCAGTATTCTCATCCACTCAGCTTTATAGTCTAGTAGTCCTAATTCAAAATTCTCGTTTCGATCATTTGCATCAAGCAACCAGTTTATGTTCAAAATAGGGTCTCCTTTGAATACAGTGCGCCGTTTAACATCTCCATACATTCTTTTGAAAACCCCTATAGAAGTGTACACCTGTAGTTGGAATCCAAACAAATTATTATTACAATCAAAGTTCAATAGCCATTTACCGGATTTAGACCAGCTAATATCCAGTCCTTCCAACGATTGAATCTGAAATTTACAGAGCAATTGACTTTTGGGTCCCTCATTGTAGAAGTGGTACAATATGGAGCAGTGGGAGCTGGAGCTTGTTGCTAATAAGCTCCAAAAGTGAGGATTTGATGGTCTTCTCAATATCTGTGTGTACACTGGTTTGGGCAACTCAAAGAGAAGGTGAGTACACTCCAAAGAATAAACTCTCGCGATAAGTTTATGTTTTGTAAATATAACCAATTGTTTGGACCCAGAAACCGCTGTTTCTTCGTCGTTCGGTATGGGATCAATCCACTCAAACGCATGTATTCCCTCGAGCGCTGATTGGTGTATTATGATTGGAGTCAGTGTACCGAGAGTGAGTACCATCAATAGAGTGAAATTATTCGGACTTTCCACAACTATTCCCACTTTGGTAGATTTGGATTGAGGGGCCAATTTCTCCCAGGATAGCTGAGTAACAAACATATTTTTTATATATGAAGATGCTTTTCTTCTGTCTGTATGTGTTGCAAAATGATTGTAGACCAAGCTCTGGATATTGAACGAATGGACTGGGGAATTGGTATAAACATCCAATATATCTAGCGCAAGAGCACTCACACTAGAGACATAACTACCACAGTTAGAAACTTTTACAAAAGACATATCCTTGTCTTACAAAATATGTCCATAAAGCGATATTGGCTTCGTTTGGGGCCTCTTCGCTAAAGCTCTTGATGTTTGTTGATGTATACAATTTATGTGCAGGACAAGTCTCGATCTTTGCATACTCGTTCGAATTTCAAAACATCATCAAAAAATGAGTTGAGGAAAAATAAACACACACACACCCAGACATTTACACACACCCACATACACATAACACACAGAGCTTATCGTAAGGTCTCCTTACTTTGTAAATTGCGAGAAAAAAAATATTCAATACCAATATTCTCACGATTTTTGTTGGAACACAGGAAGCAAAGGTCATACAACTCAAGAACTAGTGAAATTAAATTAAATACCAAAAAAAAAAAAGAAACCACAATCAAACACAAAAATACTTTGGGATGCCACCCAGGAAGAAATCCAATGCAGGAACTTCAACTCGTGTAAAATCTAAAGTGAAGGGAACTCTAAAGTCAATTCCGAGTCTTGCTCCGGAGGAACCAAATCATAACAACGACAGCTTCAACAATGGCGATCAATCATCTCAAATCACATCAATTATGAATAGGAAAAATCGATTGGGAGATTTACTAAATGATAGACTGAAACAGAAGCAAGTGGTACCCAGACGCTCAAACAAGCGACAACTGCGACTGTTTGAAGAGGACGAAGGGTTCAAGTTTAAAAGAAGCCAAGAAGCGAATAATATTGCCCAAGTGAGCACACCGATATCGCGTTTGAGGGAGGAACTCATAGGGATAAGTGATGATGAATTGGCCCCAATCTCATTCGGTAACGGATTCGAACGGAAAAATAATAAAAAGAGGTATGAAGATGATGAAGATGATGAAAATGATGATATTGGAGGTGGAAATGCTTTATCGTCTCCAATACGATCCAATGCCAAACGTTCCAAGAGTAACACTAAAACGATCTCAAATAAAATGGCTCCAGCCACGTACATAAACGAATACAGTCTGGATGATTTCAGCAAACCGGCAACATCGACTGAGAGTAAATTGAAGAGAAGATCATCCTACCACAATCGAGGGAAAAGGTTACTGTCCATTGGCAATGGCTTTGGAGGGGTTCCACACGATACTATTCCACCTTCTGACTATTATAAATTACTAGACAATTCGTTACCTGAACCTCATAGAATGAGACAATTGTTAATCTGGTGTTTCAAAAAAAAGTTGGACCAAGAGGACAAGGAGAAGAATGTCACTACTTCTGTAGAAGATAAGACTCTGATAAATATTGCCAAAGTTATCAAAGAGGAAATTATGACAGATCTAGTTAATGGAGATATTGAGACCAGTTGGTATAACAAGGAAAATAAGAGTTACAGAGACAATGCCATATCAAAGAACAAGACTAAAAACGACAAAGGTAATAAACTTCTACCCAATCCATTAAATGTTAAAACTTTGGAGAATATTCAAATATATCAACAAAAATTGAAAGAACTTCAAACTGAGAGAGAGGAATGGGATAAAAGCTTGAATAACTACTGTAAAGACATTACTTTAGATAACTTCCCCAGCATTAAAAAGGACAGTGAGATCATTCAACAGGATGATGGTAATGAAAGAGTCCAGGAAATACTCAAAGAATCTCTTCTTAAGAATCTTGAAAATTCCATTCAAGAAGTTGAAGACATACCTAACCACATAGAAAATTCAATTGATAAGGTATTCAATACTGCATACAGGTTACACAAGGGCCATGAGTTAATTGAGTCCATTCAACGTAACCAACTCAATGGGGAAATATCGTCAGTGGTCAAAGACTGCATGACTGGCAGAGAAATGGAATCGACGGAAGCCAAGGAACCTGAAACGAAACAAAAGCCTAACCAAAACGATAGCTTTTGGCCAATTTCCAGATCTCCAACTACAAAGGAATTATTGCGAGGTATTGCTCGGCTAGATGCTCGCTAGTACAACAGTCTACCCCAACCTAATGTGAAGTGAAGAGTGACCTTATTTGTTTAATTATTGTACCATATGTAATATATACTATAGATTTAATACGGCATCGACGTGTAGGGCGTTTTAGGATTCGTCATCAATGTACTGAAGCTCTCGAATTGAATGCACCATGTCTCGATTTAAACTTTTCTTATTTTTCGGACTTTTCGTTTAACCAGATTTGGCGGGGAAGAGCAACATAAAAAACGCACTGTTACGCTCAAGAGAGTTCGAAAGTACCCCCAAAAGTTTAAAAATAGAAGGTACAGACCAGTGCTTCTTGCAGATATAAATCCAGCGAATACTTTTGATTGTTGAAATTGAAATTTTGTTTTCGAAATATGCATGTCTTCCAGCATACCAGAATTTTATAGTTGCCCAGTTAAAAGTAGTCATGATACGACAGATTTTTGGGAACGCTCAGATATATAAGTCACGTATGCTAAACAAAAAGTATGCTAAAAGGTTGAAGTCTCTATATACAATGATGATACTTTCTGTGTTAGGTATCGTAGTTCTTTTCTATTTCACGGTATTTGTCGATGCATACCCAGTTGCTGCAAATGTAAGTAAGTCATCTGGTTCTTTTTTGTACCCATTTGCATCCTTGAGTCATAAACTTGGAGCTGGGTATGCCCAGCAAAGTAGACATATCTTCAGCAGAATTCAAGGGGGTATTGAGGGAGCTTTTACTGATTCAAACGATGCCTCAACGGGTTTTGGTTCCATAGGAACTATCGAGTTTCAAAAGCAAAATCATTACCAAAACCAACCGTATGTAGCCAATGGATACATTGGTAGTAGAATACCCAATCTTGGCCAAGGTTTTAGTTACGACGACTCATCTGATGGGTCATCAAATCACTTGAACGGCTGGCCCTTGTTTAACGAACGGTATGCTGGTGCGTTCGTCTCGGGGTTTTTCAATATTCAGGAGAAGACGAACGGGACTAATTTTCCTGAACTTGCCGCCAATGGGTATGAGAGTATCATCGCAGCCATCCCACAGTGGACAACTTTAACCCTTTCAGTGGAAGTAGATGGAAAGACTTACAGTTTAGATCCATCATTGAAAGATGAGGAACAAGGCGATATTACGAATTACTCCCAAGAACTACAACTCGATAGAGGAAATGTTGTTACTCAGTTCACATGGTTGGACAAAATTGACGTCAAATTTACAATTTTAGCACATAGGGAAGAAATTCATTTGGGATTGGTACTTCTTGATGTAGTGAATGGATTTGAAAATTCGGTTGATATAAAAATCGAAGACAAATTGGATTTTGCTACAGCTCAGCGCTGTCAATACGTGAACAGCACGGCTAATGACGATAATGAAGCAATTTTATTGTTATTCCAACCTCATCAATTACTGCATGTTAACGGGGCGATATACTCAAAATTGAGTCACGGGCAAGGAGAAAGGACCGTAAAGATGGGAAATAACTCAGTGTCGCAGATTTTGCAGATCAATATTGCTTCCAACTCAAGCATTGAAGTATCTAAACACGTTGGAATAGTAACCAGCGATATCGATCCAGAAAATTTGAAAACCACAGACGATGTCGTCAACTTGGCTAAGTCTACGGTATTGACTAGCTTGGATAAAACTGACACTCAATTGTTAATCACTCATGAGAGTTTATGGACGGAAATTTTGGGATCAATTGATGTTGAATTTGTTGATGATGACTTGTTGACAATGGCATCAAGAGCATCCTTGTATCATTTAGCTGCAAATACGAGACCCAATGCGCAAGGTGTCACCGCGGCATTGGCTGTAGGAGGGTTATCATCTGACTCGTATGGTGGAATGGTATTTTGGGATACTGATCTATGGATCTCAGGAGGATTACTACCATTTCTTCCGGATCATGCCAAAAGTTTTGTAAATTACAGGCTTTATACCCATTCTCAAGCCAAAAAGAATGTTCCAGAGGGTTATGAAGGTGCAGCATATCCTTGGACTAGTGGTAGATATGGTAACTGTACGGCTACAGGGCCTTGTTTGGATTATGAATATCATATAAACGTTGCAGTTGCGTATGGAGCGTGGAATATTTACTTAAGTGGCTCGGAAGATGACACTTACTTAGAAGAAGTTGTGTTTCCATTAGTAGAGGATGCAGCAGCATTCCTCTCCACTTATGTCGCGAAGTATAATGAAACTTTGGACAAGTATACTACGCATAATTTGACTGACCCAGATGAATATGCTAATCATGTTGATAACGGTGCTTATACTAATGCGGCCATTGAAGAATTAATGAAATGGGCTAGTTCCATATGCGATCACTTTGATAGAAATTGTACCCTGTTCTCCAGTGATATCGTAGATAAAGGAATGTATTTGCCTACTGCAGCACCCGATGACGTTACTTTGGAATATTCAGGAATGAATTCATCTATTGAGGTTAAACAAGCTGATGTTGTTATGTTGTCCTACCCTCTTGATTCTACCCTTCTTAATGAAGATGATGCAAGAAGTAATTTAAATTACTATGCTGCCAAGCAAGTTTCTTTTGGGCCAGCTATGACTTTCCCTATGTTTTCAGCAGTCTCGTCCAAACTTTCTCTTTCAGGATGTTCTTCTGTCTCATACTTATTGAAATCGGTAGAACCTTATTTGAGAGCTCCTTTTGCTCAATACCTGGAACAAAATAATGATGATTTTGCAACAAATGGTGGAACCCACCCAGCCTTTCCATTTTTGACAGCACACGGAGGAATCTTACAAGCAGTACTTCAACTTGCCGGCTTGAAGTATGATTACTACTTCGATTCTTCCCAAAGTATTAAAAGACTTCTTAGATTGGACCCAGTTTCAACTAGCTGCCTTGGAGAAAATGGAATTAACATTAAAGGTATTAAATACTTGAATCAGACAATTGATTTTGAATTTACTTCTGATAAGCTAATCCTTAAACACCAAGGCCCTTTATCTGCTGAACATAAACAAGAGGATATTAATTTTTATTTAGCTGAAAGAAATGAACTCAGTGAGAATAAAAAGGTCCACACTTTGGTATCGGGCGATGAATTTTCAATTCCCTTATTCAAATCCCAGCTTAATGTCCCTGAGAATATTATAGAATGTGGTAATGCGATAATCTCGAATATTACAGCAGGCACTTTTGGAGATATTTCGAGTATGATGAACGATGGAGATAATTACACTTATTGGCAAGCTAATTCTCTGGAAACTGCACAAATTTTGATCAATATTAAGGAAGAAAGTAACCTCAAAAGAGGGCTTATTAACTGGGGAACACGGCCTGCAAAATCTTTCTCTTTGTCTAGAATACAAAGTGATATATCTGGAGAGCTTATAAGCAGAGTTGAAGCTTTTCATCAGCCAACGGATTTCAGTAATTGGACTCATACACTTGTTGAAAAAGATGTTACTATCAGCGCACCTTTCAATTACACTGAGTTTACTTCCATTCAAGTTGCTGATAAGTATAACATTACCACTTTTTCCATTGAAACTGACCAAGTTACTAAGTACCTATTGCTAGAGTTTAATGGTACTCTAGACGATGTAACCGATTCTGAATTGGGTGCGACTATCAATGAGATTCTGTTATTTGGGTAATCTTAAGTTATGCCTCCTCAATATTTATCCTTCGATAAACTAAAAAATACCTTCCTTCTTAATAGATATTATCTTACATATAAATTCAATTTCTGAAATGTTTATTTAATCATGTTTTACAATTATTTAGTTAATCCTTTTATTTTTCTTTCCACTGGTTGACTTATAATAATGCTTCAGCCATTTGAATTAAATGTTTCACACCCGGATGCCAATTGCTAGTCTCTTCGCTATGGTTAGTTGTAAGTTTCACATGTAAAGCTAAGGCTTCCTTGTAATCTTTATTATTTAATGCACTGCAAAGATTCTTCAATTCATTGATCACTTCATCAGACAAAAGATCGCCATTATTCAAATGGTCAAATAAAATATTTAATCTTCTAACTACAGCTTCACCATGTTTGGCATACTGAGCTGGCAAATCTGGCATGATAACTTCAAGAATTGAATTTAAGGTGGTGTAAATTGGAAGAGCGTTCTCTGGAATATGAGACCTGTCACCTGATGGGTAATTACTTTTGGTGGGGGCAGCAGGTGGTGGAGTCGAATTATTGGTTGGGAGGGAAGTGGGTGGAGGAGGAGGTGGGATTGATCCAGAAGGAGTTGGTGCCATTGAATTTCCTTTTGGAGGTGGAGGTGGAATTGAGCTCATTGGAGGAGGGCCACCAATGGGTGGACTTACCAAGCCACCAGCTTTGGGTGGTGGTGGTAAAATTCCAGTAGGACTACTGACCACATTGTTTGACGCTTGTGGTGCGTAGGGATTTTTAGGTGGAGTTGGTAAACCTACTGCAGTGGGGTTTACTTGGAAGTTGGTGGGAACTGGTTGGGCATACGCATTTCTGGATGGCGGGACAGCAGGACCTGAGGGAGCATATGGGTTTTTAGGTGGAAGAGTTGGGGTTTGGGTCTCAACAAATCCATTGCCTAATTTTGGTGATTCAACTACTGCAGAAGCATTTAGTGGAGGTGCATAACGAGTATTCAATTGGGCCTGAACTAATGAAGGTGATTCAATAGAAGGTACAGTCTGCTTTGATGGAGTTCTACTCAAACCCTTTGGAGGTGGAGGTAAAACTGGTGCTGCTGCTGCGGATGAAGTCCTCTTAGGAACATGAATGTTAGGCTGTGGAGATTCAATTGGCGATGGACTAGATACACCTGATGGAGTAGCTCTACGAGGAGCTACTTTTGGTTTGAAAGTATCTGGTAAGTCGTTCCAACCTCCTTCCTCTTTTTTGAACGCAGGAGCATTTGAGGAAGTAGGTGGTGGGGCGATGCTTCCTAACGAGGTAGGAGGTGGAGGTGCAAAAGTGTTAGTAGCACTAGGAAATTGTGCACCTGAAGGTTTATAGGGATTTTGGGCAGAAGCTTGAGGAGCATAAGGATTCGACACTGGGGTAGGAATACTCAGCTTAGCATATGGATTGGCAATTGGGGCAGATGGAACAAATTGAGATGGTGTACCAGCTTGTGAATAAGTCGAATTTGGGATTGGTGGTCTATTGAATCCTGGATTTATCGAGGCTGGTGGAACAAATGGTTGACTGCCGACTGAACCTAATGGCTTTTTTGGTGACTTCGAGTATGAGTTACGTCCAGGGATTCGACCACCGCTTTGTCTTGAAGTGTTAACAACAGCAGCAGATTTCCCCGTAGCTTTTCCAATTCTATCCTTCTCCAATTTCAATCCAGCAAAATCTTCAGGTAAGATCTCTAAGAATTTCTCAGCTAATTCAAATTCACCGTATCCTGCAACTAAATTAGAGTACTCCAATAAAACTTTGCATGCCTTTTCGATTCCAGGACCGGACAATGTACCACTAGTATTTGAAAGAGATCTATAAGTTGCCAATTTTTCCACAAAAATATTCAATGCTTCAAATCTAGCATCAGAAGGAGATAAGCCTTCAAATTTTTTGTTATCAGGAGCTAACAATGTCTTTTCGATGTTCTCTAATTCACTTAACCAAATTGTTGAAATCTTATCAATAGCATTTCCAGATAAATAGCATAACAATGCATCATTTCTATCACCACCAAGTGAGAGGATACGATCACCAAGTTCCGAGATTTTGGCATTATAGTCATCAGTATCTGTGGCGTACGAAGAAATCGAAGTAGCTATATCTCTCCAATTTTGGATATCAGCATTAGCCACGATATCTGTGACATTTTTAGAAGATACACTGTAAAGCAACCTTGAAATAGAGTTAGATTCATTGGTTTTGAAGTACTCATTCTTTACAAGTTGCTTTGTATCCTTAGAGCCATCCAACGCAAGGACAAATGCTTCTAAAAGAAGACCCTGTTCGATAGAAACACTTACAGCTTCATCTATCTTACCTGCAAGGATTAATTTAGTGAGCTTAGTAGTTTGATCTGAGGCATTAGAAGCAAAAATTGAAAAGTCACCAGAGGGAACAAATGTCGATGCTGCTGCAGAGATTGACTTTCTTACTCCGGCTTTCCCCAAATTGTCGAAAAACGAGTCTTCATCGACTTCTCCAGCGATACCATTAGAGATTTCCGCTTTAGCAGCTTCCTTTTCATCCGTAGCCACGCTTACTTCAGTGGATTCATTTTCAAGAAGATTTTTACCTTGACTTAATTTCTTTAACAATTCCCAATCCTTCTTATCGCTGTCACTAGAAAAGTCACTTTTGGTCTCAATGAAATCTTTGAAGTTTCCGGATTTAATTGCCTCCGAGAATTTTGCAGTCTGGTTCTTGAAGTTGTTGTTACTAACGAACTTGTTGATTTCAATGGTAGATTTCCCATTGGCATCTGTCTTGACAGAAACCAATTTGGATCCAAATCCGAAACCAACACTTACAGGAGATTTCAACCATTTTGGAGCTTGCTGCTTGTCAAACTTAGGTTGTTGAGTTTCAGCTGTTGAAATTTCATTCCAGAATTGGTTGTCATCATTGCTTTGACTGACTTTAGTCAGCACAGGTGGGCTTGTGTCTTGCAATGATTGTACAATAATTTTACCGTCGAAAGAGGCGGTTGCAAAAATGTCTGGTGCCTGTGGTGCAAACTTAGTTTGGAAAGCCCAATTGGCTGTAGTGGGGTATTCACCTAACTTTTCACCAGTTATTGGGTTCCAAAGCATGGTAGCGTTATCCTTACCGGACGAAATCAATAACTCTGGATCTTGTTGACACCAATCAAGTGAAAGGACACCTTGTGTATGACCAGTCAAGATTTTCTCAGGAGCATTTGAATTTCTTAAGTCCCAGGTCAAAATCAATGGACAACCATCATTATCACTGGCTGTGATTAATTTGGTCAGCTGGGTTGGGTGCCAAGCGACACAAGAAAAATTGGCTCTAGTACCACCTTGACCTTGGTAAGATAAATGCAACACTTCACGCTTTGCCTTCAAGTCCCAAATTGATGTGTACCCACTGTTTCCCGCCGTCAGAGCAAAAATATGAGGAACAGCTTGATTCCAAGCTACCGACGATATGATTTCCATTGGGGTCATTGCAGAGCCTGGAGATTTGGGCTCAGCAAACGTTTTCAAGTCCCACACGAAGATTTGACCCTTGTCTCCACCAGACACCATAACATGATCTTGGCTTGGGTGGAACAGCAATGATTTGACGAAACCGGAGTGGATCTTATCGTCCTTATGGATTGATGCCTTGGTCAAGTCCTTGGTCTTCAATAACACGTTGGCGTCCCAAAACTCAATGAGTCCATTTTCAAATCCACCGGCTATCACACCTCGAGAATACTTGTCAAATGGCTTGGACCACCCAATTGCGTGGAACCTGGCGCCCACTGGTACGCTCACCACAGGCTCGGACTTATCAATTGGGGAGAACACGTCCCAAATTTCCAAAACTGCCTGCGAAGTGAACGAAAGATCAACTGCACCAGCCACTGTACCAGTGGCAAGCAACGGGAGGCACTCATGACTCCAGGTGAACGTCGACGTTCTTGAGATTTCAGCAATCTTAACCATTTTTCCGTTCAATTAGCTTTACCTTCACCTACACTATCTAGATATTATTCGGTGTACTGTTTTCAAGCAATATTAGAAAAAACAAAATGAAACTTGCAAAAGAAAATGAATTGATTACTTTCAGTTTTTGTAGTATCTATAATTTTTCAGTTTTGGCTAGCAATTTTGACTTTGTCACTGATTTTTTTTTTTTTTGCTATGAATTTTGACTTTTCTCGGTGTTGTTCTTGAATCGAAATCGCTTTGGCACGGTGGGCGAACAATTGCAAGGTAACTTGTTTACGTGGTAGTTTGATTTTGTGTCAGGACTGGTGAAAAGTTGCACAAAGGTGCGCTAGGATAGAGTAGTGAGGAAGTGTGGAGAACGGGTTTGGCTCAGGTTTGTTTGGAGAGAAGTGAGTTGAAGAAGGTGAGGCTGGTTCAGTTCAGTGCTAGAAGTGGCGATTTTAAAAACCAGCAGGGGCGAAAGAGAGGAAGATCGATTGAGGAATTGAGGTATATTGTTGCGTGTTATTGATGGTAGTTGGAATATGCTGGTGCTGTAGCGTGTGAGGTGCTTTAGTGTTGGAGTCACTTGAGTGGAGGAAAAACAAAAATTAAAAGGTACCGCGAATTCTGGAAATTAGGGTGTACTTTCCGCGCGCCGCTAGTGCTGCACTGGAATTGGAACGGGAGTTTGAGCGTATGAAATAGCAGGGACGGTTGCAATCAGTTGGCTTAAAGCTGCGCTCACATTTCAATTTGGTTTGGTTTAGATTAGCTTTTGTTTTGTTTGCCAGCTCACTTGTCTCAACCGACTCATATACTGTATCACTTCGTTCGTTGGTAACGGTATACGGTCTATTTTTGATCTAGATAAATATGGTTATAATGGCCGTACACTTTGATCCCAGATTAGCAATGGGTCCTAAATTTTCATCTCTATGCCAGTAGAACATACACGAGTAGCTCCCGCATATAAAACACCGCGAGCACCTTGATCCACTACCTATATCCCAATTCATAGTATGCCTAATGCCATTCCTTTTTTTTTGTTTCCTTTTTGCCAACCGTCCCTTTCATGACTCTCTCTGCAGCTGACAACAATTCACCTTCCTTGGCTTGTCTTATTATTTTCTAGCTAAAGCATAGTAGCGTATACCTCCCCTCTCCCTAACAATGCGTAAATGTTTCACTATCCGATTTTTTTTGTTAAGTCGCTCCGCATAAGGCACCAAGGGCATCACATGCCACGCCCAAAAATATGAAGAACAAATTGTTGGATACTTAAATCATATAAGTTAGTCCAGTATCCCTGAGTGAATTCTCCTTTTCTTTCACTGATCTCATGGGATGGATTTCGTTTTTAACTACACTCCTTCTACTTACATTTATCATAATGTAACTTGGGCTCTCTTTACCTCGGTAGCCCTGCACATAAAAGTATGGGGAAGTGCATTGTCTGGGGGGAAATTCTACGCGATATAGTGGAAAATAAATAAAAAAAAAAAAAAACTATACTGGATAGCAAGAAATTAAAAAGCTTGTAAGCATACTCCCAAGTTGGTGTCTGTTACCAGGATCTACAAGTCCCATTTCAAGATACATGTCTACTGTTATTTCTCCTAAAACAATCCAAATTGCTAAAATTTTTTTTAAACACTTGGACAAACGTGTTGCTAGACCATCCCTCAAGGCGTTCTTCTTCGCATACTTATACGTTACTCTACCAAAGGTTCTCAATCATGTAATTTTATCTATTCGTAAAAAGAAGTATCATGAAGTGTTACCTAGGGTAGTTAAAATTTTGCTTAATGCACTTAATCCTTCCAAATTCCCAATGTTCGCAGCGAAGTTGGTTGCAGGTATCAATATCTTAGAGCCATTGATCTATAAAATTTTAAAGAGATCGAATATTGGCTCGGGCCCTGTGGAGCTTTTATTTTTATCCACTTTGGTTTCTTCATTTATATCGAGCTATGCATCTTTTCCTAACTTTCAAAATCACATATTGACATATGGAAGATATTATACTTTGGATTTGACGTTATTGGTCTGCACGAGAGCATTGGACACTGCGTTTTCGTCAGTATTATCGAAATACAGCGAAGGAACAAAGCTAGGTAAGTATGTGGATGGAAATGCTGTATTGTTCATAGTTTCGCTGAGCTTTATAATGTTTTCATGGTTCTTCAGGCCTCACGCATTGCCGCCTTCCTATAGGAAGTGGATTACCTCTGCAGCAAATATGGATCAAGAAATTATTGATGCTTTAAAGTATTTAAGGGATGGGACCTTGGTTTATGGTGAAAACTGTGAGCATGAGAAGGTATTGGAAACCTACTGCGAGAAGTATGGAGTTGACAAATCGCAGGGTTCCTTGATATTGAACCAGCCTTTGGATTGTAGAACAGTTCATGCATTCAAAACTGACAGCTGTGAATTGCATGCTCTTTGGAGATTTGCTAGAGGTTTTTCGTTTGCAATGAAGATTTATGGCCCATTGAACGGTTTGATGTTACTCTTCCCAGTAAAAAATCAGAAAATGACTCAAAGATTGTTGTATGCGTTGAAATCTGCCATGAGATCTTCTGCATTCTTGGGCGCCTTTATATCATTTTACTGGTATGGGGTTTGTCTTGCAAGAAAGAGGGTTTTGCCCAAGCTTTTTCCTGGTGAGCCAATGACTAAATGGGACAATACATACGCTCCAACTGCTGGGTCCATCGCGTGTGGGTTTAGTCTGTTAGTTGAATCGGTTCAGAGACGTAAGGAATTGGCATTATTCGTAGCCCCTAGAGCCCTAGGTACTATTATTCCTCTGGAACCCACATTGAGAAATCTTAAAATAGAGTCTGTTGTATTTTCGATTTCTTTAGCTGTGTTGGTTGCATACAGCAAAGCAAACCCAAAATTAGTGAGAGGAATCTTTGGGAAAGGATTAAAGCAAGTTTTCTCCATTGACTCTTATCAGTAAAGATTAAAAGTAATAGTAATAAAAATAGTAATAATAACTAAGACAAAAGAAGAAAAGTACCAGCTTTTTAGTATGATTTAAATGAGTGTATCGTTAGGTATTTTATTAATAAAAGTCACAAATATATATACTTTCAGGGCATTTTGTGCAATTCCATAAAAAAATTAATTACTTCTCTGGATAATTTATCAAAATCGTAAAATCGTTGACCCATCACTCTTTTTAAATCTGTTCGAAATTCATCTACTCTTGTGACCCTACAATCCCCAACAGGACCAAGTGAGCTTACTCTAGCAACCTATTTACCACTACTACCAACATAATTCGCAGCCATTCGAAGTGCAACTCAAAAGCAGGCCTGCATATAGCACTCATCAACATCAAGTCTCTAAAGAAAAGCATTTCAGTACCAGAAGAAGTGAAATCAGGTTGATCTTCTACAACACACCTTCAGAGAACTGATTTTCTTGTAAATACAATGCCGTCGGACGACTCAGATTTCGATGATGTGGGAATAGGAGGAATTAGTGGAAATGGAGGCGATTTCGACTTTGAACCAGACTCCACCTTGAATGAAACTCATACTTACATTGCCAATATGTTGGGGTTATCGGATCAATTACCGAGTTTGAATCATGTTTTTTACACAGTGGCTTCATTATGTGATCCCTTTACACAACCAGAAGAAAATGAGCACTCTATATTGAGCCTTGACTGTATTTCCGACTTGGTAATTGCAATATCTTATTCTAACTTAAAGTACTCCAATACAAACAGAGGTGACCTAGCCACAGACGAGGCAATCAAGAATCCTGAGCTACAATCTTTGAAGTTTGATCTCTCTCTTGCATACTTTACTATTTTGCAGGCAATTTTGGCTGGGTTGAACTGTGACGATGAGTTGCACCTAAGATATGTTAATAACGACGAGGAGAATTTCATATCCAACTTGACTCAGTGGACTCCCAACTTCATCACAGAAGATTATGAATTGAAAATATGTTATAGGATGGCATGTGTATTGTTGATGTGTATCTATAAACTATTCAAACCACCAGTAGAAAAAGACGAAGATGATAATCTTGTGTCTAAGTCTTATAATTTGAGTACAAACCCTTACTTACATTATTTTATCAAAGTATGGAAGTGCCAGACAAACGTAATACTTTTGGGACTAGAAATAGATCGACGGTTGGAAAAAATGAATTTAGAGCAGCCAGAGAGCAGTGGGAAAGAATATGTAACGCCTTTTATTGTTCATGCTACTTTGAAAGGTAGTAGCGCAATCAGGTATGTCGTCACTTGGATTTTGAACCAGAACCCTTCAGTACAGGAAAGTGAATCAGAGGACATCAAAGACTCGATTACAGGTGGAGTGGAGACAGAGAAGGCAGAAGAAGTTGGTTCCTTACCAGACATAAATAAAAATGGTTTTTCTGATTCAGAATATGATATTAAATGTGAATCCTTACTCAATTTTATCCACCCATTGGCAAGGAAGAAGGTAAATGGAGGAGCATTACTGATCGATATGAGATTTGTGGTGATTGCATTATTGATAGTTAATTCAGGATTCTCAATGCGTAGTAAGGCACTTTACGTAATATCAAAGGCAGACTGGGATGAAGAACGCTATCAAAACCAAAACAAACCAATAGCAGAACTAGGCGATATTTTAATTGACTTAGAATACGAGGATAGATTTGATGAGGATATTCGATACATATTTGACTGGGAAGGAGAATGGGAGGATGAAGACGAGGAGGATGAAGGGGAAGGTGAAGAGGAAGAAGTTGATAAAGATGGCCGAGAAGGGGAACAAGCCGAGAGCATAAAGATAAAAACCGTGAATGAAAAAACTATAGAAGAGAAAGAGGACAAAATAAAAAGTCAGGTGAGTAATGAACAGAATGGTAGTGAGCCAAATGGATATGTTGTAGATGACTCCAAAAAGGAAATAAGCAAAGCAGCAAGTGAAGAGCATTCTGAACGATTCTTCCAACTCAAGGAATTATTAAAGAAGGGTGATCTTGATGCAGATGAACTTCAAAATTGGTTAGAAGAAGATGCAAAAGTGAACCAGACACTTTCACAAGAAAATAACTTAGGGAATGGGGGGATTCCTCGAATTTCAACTGCTGTTCGTTCAGAAGAAACGATTGAGTACGATGATCTTGGACGTGATTGGAGAGATCACGCCCGAGGAGAAAATACAAAATTCAGAGAATGGTTTCTCGAGACTCTCAAGACATATGATAACCTCTCAGCAAAAGAAAAGGAGGATCCGGACGATTTTTTCTCATCTTGGAAGGAGTTTGAGCAATGCTTGGAATTCCTTTTACTTCTGGGAATTGAGAGCAATGAAGAAGGAGATGTTGAAGCAGAGAGGAAAATAGGCCAGAGTGTCCTAAACACAATAGCAAAAGCAATAAAGGACGAGGAATCGCTGAAGGAAAATAACACAAACACAATTACCCCAGATAAAATATATAACTATTGGTCATCTCTTGCAACTGAACTGGAAATAGCTAAAACGCAAGACAACAACAAGTTGATAATTCCAATTTTTGGAATAACGAAATTCGAGCTTTTACTTCATAACAACGGTAAACTTACTCTGTGCATGTTAGATGAAATGCTCATGTGTAAAGGTTATCGAAGAGTACTTATATGGTTCATTACACACAACGTTAACTTATCGCCGCCATTGATTAACTATGTATTTGAACTCTTGGTTGGATTGAGAGGTGGAGAAAGTGAAAAATTGAAACCGTACAAATTTAGTAGAGAAGGACCTAAAATTGTTTTAAGCGAAATAGAAGTTCTGATGCTCTTACATGAGTTCATTTCGACCAGTGGTCTCTATTTGTTGGCAACAAAAGATGGAGTGGAGACTTTCTATGGTTACAAAATTGTCCTTCTGGATTCCATTGCTCGGAAATACCTGACTTTGATGTGTCTTTTGATAGACCTGTTAATCAATGTTGGTGTAATTGACTTGAGTGCTCCACAAAAAGATGGTGACGTATATGATTATACATATAACTTGCAATTTTTCCTTATAACCTGGATCAGTAAGCTTCCAGAAGCAAGGACTTTATTTTTCAAGATCAAACAAGCAAGAGGACTAGCTGGGGAAGTCGAAGGTGAAACAGCCAATTCAGGTGCGGTAACCGACACTCCTCCTTATACAATAGACCAACTTAACTCATTTGTCAAATTTATTGAGCCTCTTTCCATGCAAGAGATCAATGATCACTTGACTAGTAACTCGGAACATTTCAAGTTATTGAAGGATTATTCCAGTAACCTAGAAGTTCACATTAAGTGGTTATTGTGTCAAAATGATAGGGACAGAGAATTTGTTAAAGAAGTGATTGGACCTAAATCAAGTTTGACCTCGATGCAAGAAGATTTCCAATTCTTTTTAGAGAATTTTAATACGTTGTGTAAAATAGACTTTTTAGCTGAGTTTTTGTTTAGAAAAGTCGAGAAGAATATCCAAACTGGTCTGATATTCACGCCATTAGAAGTTGAAGTTGCGGAAGGGATCACTCGGCTGAATAATGGAGCAGTCACCACGATTGGAGAAGAAAACGAAGACTCTGAATTCAATGGTCACTTCTTAGATGGCATTGGACAGTTTAGTGAATCGAACGAAAAAGGGGAGGAGCCTAGCGGGAAGAAGAAAAAAAACAAAAAAAAGAAGAAGGGAAAGAAAAAATAACGAAGCAATAGAATGTTGAATAGATAAAGTAACACAGTTCTTAGACTTCAAGCATACAAAAGATAAAAAGGTGAGTGCGAGGGAGTAGGAAGATTAGCAAAATGTACATTATTTTAATTTAGCTTGAATGTTCAATTGGCCATCATTATTTCTGTAGCATAAACTCTTACTCTGACCCTACTTAATCAAGACACTCCTACAGTGAACAAATCATACGTGAATTGACTAGGAACCCTCTTCAAAATAAATGCAACCGTTTGATACTCCCAGGTCAAAAAAATCAATATGCAGTATACTTTACATAAATGTACCAAGGCACGACCACGCAAAGTGACTCAGGTCAAAAAGTTGTGCTCAAAAAGAAGAAGCAAACGAAACGACCGAAACGTGCAAACTATATTTCAAATGTTCACTAGACAATTACGTCCATCAATTCTTAGATCAATTAATATGTCCAGCGCAAGATCCGCCTCTACTCTCACTCCAGTAAGTACGAAAATTAAAGGAATTGGAAGAAAACTAAGATTGGCTCCTGATGAACCTCAGGAATGAAAAATTGGATTTCTCGAACTGTATATACTAACTACAATTACTTTAGGTGAAGACTGCCAACGCTCCACCACCAGCAGCCTCTTACTCTCAAGCCATTAAGGTTAACGGTATGTAAATTGAAAGCTGCAGCTGCAGCTCCCTCTCTTTTTTTTTCTTTTCCCTATCTATTATCAGGATGTTGTACCAATAACCTTTAGTGATCCTTCCTACATTGGACCACAAATATGTTGCCTGCACCTTACAAGCGGTTTCATAGCGCCGATAAGGGTGAGCCAGTGAAACATTTATCTGCAGGCACATGAGCAATGCGTGGTTGCAAACTTGGGGTATTATAATCTACTAACACTCTTCTAGGTTTCATCTATGTTTCAGGTCAAATCCCTTACACTGCTCAAAACAAGCCATTGGAAGGCAACCCAACCATCCAAGAACAAGCTGAGCAAGTTATTCAAAACGTATCCAACATTTTGGAAGCCTCTAACTCATCTTTAAAGCACATTGTTAAGGCCAATATCTTCTTAACTGACATGAAGGAACAATTTGGTGCTTTCAATGAAGTTTATGGTAAATATTTTAACGAACACAAGCCTGCTAGATCTTGTGTCGCAGTCAAGGAATTGCCATTGGGTGTCCAATTAGAAATGGAAGCCATTGCCATTGAAAAGGACGAATCAAAGTTATAGTGGAATAAGAACTCGCAAGAATAAATAGAAAAGGAAAGAAATTTGAACTTCCTCTTGGACTTAATGTGTAGATCAATGAAATAACACTTTCACTATTTCAGTTTCGATGTAGATAGGCTGTTTATGTAAAGCACTGTGGGTGGTTTACCACTTTGGGACAGTCCTACAATATGCTGTACAGTCGCTTTGAAATTGGTAACGTGATCGATTAGGGTATAACCCTGGTACACTCAACATCCAAACACCCATACCACTGCCCATATGTGGGTGACACCAGTTTTTCAGTAATCGCACGACCGGTGAAATTTTTCTCCCATCTCGCTCTCACTCCTACTCTCACTCTCACAGGGTGACACTGTCTACCTTCTGGTACCACAGCATTGGCGCAAACCCACTCCATTGGTTGAAAGCGAAAAAACTTTAACTAAAGTGTACTTTAGTAGTAGAATTTTTCTGTTTGAACGTTTTTTTCATAAACACAACAACATAATGGCTCAACGTGTTACTTACAGAAGAAGAAATCCATGTATGTAGATCAGGAGAGACGAAAGAACTAGGGTAGTTCGTAAGAAGAAAGAAAAAGGGCAGAATTGAAAAACGCAGAACTGGAAGACATCACAAAATGTTGATGATGATGTATTATTGATTACAAATGACCTCAGACAGACAGAATCAGGACAAAATAGATTGTAAATGGAACTGACAATGATTAAACGAGCCTGAACGGTAGAATAGTCATGTACTTGTGGACGAGAAGGCGTTATTCCTTACCATAGACCTTTCCTTTTTAATAATATTCCTCGAAATTGTTTGTAGAGAGGACGTATTGAATGAAAATTTTGTGACCTTGGGTACCAACGGATTTCCAAATGCAGAAAGGGGATATACATGTAAGGAACCACAGCTCGTACCAACTAGTTTATCGTCTTGTCAGCATTTGATCAGCACCGTTATCGATCAGCGCTGGTGCTTGTGTAATTTTCATGTTCATGTTCCAGATTTTTCTTTCAAAGTACAAATTAGACCCTTCGTATAGCTTACCTTTAGATATTCAATTTACTAACAATTTACTTTAGACAACACCAGATCTAACAAGATCAAGGTCGTTAAGACTCCAGGTGGAAAGTTAGTTGCTCAACACGTCAAGAAGTCTGCTTCTAGAGTTAAGTGTGGTGACTGTGGTCTTGCCTTAGCTGGTATCTCCACTTTAAGACCAAGAGAATACGCTCAAGTTTCAAAGACTCACAAGACCGTTTCCAGAGCTTACGGTGGATCCAGATGTTCCAACTGTGTTAAGGAAAGAATTGTCAGAGCTTTCTTAATCGAAGAACAAAAGATTGTCAAGAGAGTCCTTAAGGAACAACAAGAAAAGGAATCCAAGTCTTCTAAGAAATAAGCAACTTTTTATTTAATTAATAAAATAAAATTGAACGTTTAAAGTAAGTTAGTAAAGCTGTAGAGAGGAGTGTAGGGAGGAGTTCAAAGGGAATGTAATTGAAATTGTGAGCAGAATTGCACAGAATTGCACAGAACTGCACAGTATAGTGTCATTTTGTTTGGTACGGAGTACGTAACTGCATTTTTGCACATATGGAACAAGAAAGCGCCAGTCTATAGCTGCGTTTTTCAAGTACAAGGTCTATGAGCAGGCTGCAAATGAACGAAAGTAGGCGAGTAGGTGCACACTGGCGGGAAAGGGAAGCCTCAATCTGTAGCCGTGTTTCTTCCAGAAAAACAGTTCTTGGGACCAGCTTACCCAAGCAGAAACCTAACTCATAAGCAAGACAAAATCGCCAATCCGCAGAAGGGCACTTCCAAGAACAGTGTGCACTGCAGTTGTGTATTAACGACCAAAGTGTGTAAGATGGCAGTGGGTTTCAGGACTGCATATAGAAATATTTTTAGCATCGGCAACTGCAGGCTATTGAGTGCCAGATTGCACTGGGATACGACACTATAGTAGGGCAAATGCCAGGTGCTAGAGCTTCTAAGGTTGAGTTAGTAGAGCCTCCAAGTTAGAGTTGGCAAAGCCTCTAAGGCAAATCAGTAGAGTAAGTAGAGCCTAATATCAGAGAAAGCAGCTCAAATGGCAATAGACCAACCCAGTCTAGCCAGATCCGACCACCCAAATCCAGTTAGTGCATTGCATCTTTCACCATCGGTATCCTGACGACAACAGAGTACTGAGTCATTCGTGTAGTGATGTGATTAACCTATTATTATCCAAAGGGCCCAAAAAGAGAAAAAGAAAAGTGACGTTATTTACCTTTTCGGATCTGAGCAAGGCGAAAGAGTTTAGTATCGGAAAATCGTACCCGCATAAAACAAAAGAATCTTGGAACCCGTTCGAAAACAAACAGAAGTATGGCACAGTTCTAGTAAAATCTTCTTAGCTTCTACATCTTGGCCAATGCTTAGTACCTACTGATATTTTGTAACGCTGCTAGTCGACTTGCGTTCCGAAAGCAGCCTGGCGTTCACTACTTTCCCTTTTGACGCCCCTCCTCCCTTCTCAATCAGTTCCATACCGTTATCGAAGTTTAAGCTATTCCTTCTAAGCATCAGCCCAGGGCTCAAATCCCGTTATCAGTTGGCCCTGCCAATATTTTTTAGGACTTTTCGCACCCATTCACATTAGGGTGAGTGAGATGGGCAGAGCTAGATAGAGCAACAAGCGATGATGAGCGGCATATGAAATCAGTAGGTAAATAAGAGAGATGAATAATATTTAAGTTGTGATTTGCTCCTGTTGATTCTTTTAAAAATTAGTACCTTTCCCTGAGTTGAATTGTGTTTTTTTTTTTTGGTTTTGCTTTCGATTCTTTTATCTGCGTTATTGTTTCTTCAAAAGCACTTGCTTATCTTAGCTTAGAAATGGAATCTTCTAAAATTCAACTTTATATAGAGAACACCTATATACCACCATCACCTGCTAAAAATGAACAGACCATCCCTCCATACCACCCTTGCTTGATAGTTCAGGATTCACAAACTGATGTTTCCAAGATCAAGCCATGTGGTTGTGCCGACTCCTACTGTGTCAAAAATGCACCAGATTGGATCCCCAGGGCAAGAAGATGAGAGAAGTCTTGACGGTTACTTTCCTTCGCTAATTTTTTATTTTTTATTTTAGTTCTAAATTCCTTGAATAAGGAGTCTCCTATTCCGTGTTGATTTCAATAACGACTTCATACGTTTAGGATTTTCGGGATGGTCCCTACATATTTATGGTGGTCTAGTCCACACTACAGTTTCATTTTATAAAACGCATATAAGCTTAAAATATACATATCTACTATTAAGAACCCTTGAATGTGTAAGCACAGAATTTATAGATAGCGAAGTGCAAATGAAAGATTCTATTCTGTTACACTCTTCATAAATCTAGTGTTCTTGCTGTTGTTGTCCAGAGAATGGATCTTGCTCGCCTTCTCTACTTACTTTCTCGCTGATTTCATCCGATATTTGATTCTCCTTATCCAACCTTCTCTTTGTTCTGGATCTTAATGGTAATCTTTCGCCAATACCCAAGAAGACCAGAGGGTGAATTATAACGAATAACGCACAAGTCAAAAAGACCATAAGTGCATCAAGGCACATCAAGTACACCTCATGAGTAATGAGGTTACCACTCCAACCCTGTGCTAGCTCAACCACTCTATATACACATCTAATGTAAATGAACATTGTGGCCAAAGTAATAGCGATGGGGAAATACCTGAAAAGTCTCAGATCTCTTAAATGCCTATATTCTTGATCATAAAAGGGTTCCAACTTTTCCACTCTCAACTTTTGAGAGCTTGGACCAAAATTGAATATTTTAATAAGGTTAGCGAAGCTGAATTTTACTTCTGGAGAAGCTTTGAAGTTGATTCTGTACAAGAAATCAAAGAAGAAGCCGTAGAAAAGTGTCATTGACACCACTTGGAATGCAATACCGGCTACCATGACGTGAGTACCGTTTGTTGGAGATTCATAATTCAAAGAGGCTGTTGCAGCCATACCACCACCGATGGCTTGAACAACCAAACTAAGCACATCACAAAAGATGAATAGATACCCGTAGAATACAGGTTTTAAAATGGAATAGTTTCGTCCGTGGACCACGATCAACTTACCCAAAGTATAATAAATAGAGGCCATAATAAAAGCCGGTGCTATAGTCAAACAAATAATTTGACATAAGAAGTAGTTACTATTGGATGTGTCGCTAACTGCCAACGTTCTTGCAAGGTAACCGGCAAATTCACAACCAATCCCAAAGAACATACAGATTCCAAAGTAGATAAACTTCAGCCATACCATGTAACCGAAATGGATGATTAAAAGTAATCCGAACAATGCCGTGAATATTCCATTAGGAGCATATTTAATCCATTCCAGGTAATTATTTTGATCGAGGGCCAATTCTTGTAAGTTTACTGCTGCTGCCCAGTACGCTGCGGATGCCAGTGCTTCCGCCAGTGAGACAGTTGCTGTTGATAAGACATTTTCAGCTTGAATAACCGTTATGGATGCTTCCGCTCCTCTTATGACTTCCGAAAGAGAATACAAGTCAGCTTCCTTGGTTGCAGTAACTAGAGCTGATGTAGCAGAGGCTAAAACCAGCGTTAAGCTGCTTAAATGGGTAGGGTTAATATACGTGGATGTTGTTGTGGCTGGTATATCTGATGGAGTCCAACTCTCCAATACAAATGAGCTAATAGAAGACATCACCGCCACCAGAATAAATACAGTGCTAGAAAGAAATAAATTAAATAGTTAAGCTGGGTGAAAAAGTGTAAAAATGTGCAGACAAGCCTCTTTATACCTAATTAACTCCTGATAGATACAGATTCGAATTGTAATACGAACTAAAAATCCATGCACGGTGTTAACTCCCGAAATAGAAACAAGAAGGAAGCCAAAAGAAGCTAAGGCTAAGAAAAAAGTCTGAAAACGGTGGGATCCAAGCTTCTGGAGAAGAGGGCGGTGCAAAAAGTTTGCTTTGCGTTAGTGGGATATAATGCAACCGATTCACGGAGCTAAGACAGTGCAGGATCGATTTTTTCTACTGTTGAATGAGTCGAAGAAGAAGCAGCGGGCAGTAGTCCAAGTCTCTCTGGTGTGTATATCAAAAAGAGAATTAGGTTTGTAGTGCCATCAAACATAGAAGCGGCTATGCACTCGAAGTGGGCTTTATCGATCGGCTTCCAAGCTCTACATTTGTTATAGCCCCTTGAAAAATTTACACATCTACTAGCATTATTTTTAACTTTAGGGTCAAGATTGTGCGAATTCTTCTATGAAATGTTCCATTTCCTTGGGATATTCCCGGTTTGCCTCCGGATATAGACTTATATCCGATCAGTTTGGATCTCTTTATACGATCTCCCATGCAGAAAAAAAACAGTAAGCCTTGGTGTTGCATATAATATATAATATAAAATTAACATATGTTATATAACATATAATATATAATATAGGGATAAGAGATAATATAGGA